GCATCCGTAACGCTTGCAAGCGTAATCAATTTTTCTCTGAAGTGCGCCTAAGGGACTCTGTCACGAGAAAAAATATTTGTATAAAATGCATTTTCTATCCGATCGACTTGGGGGATAGTTTCAAAATGCGCGCCATGATATTCCCGTTCTCCCCCAATAGGCCGCACGGCACCTCTGCCTACGCGAGCACGTGGTCGGCCCAGGGTTGCCAGATTGGGCTACAAGTAGCCAATTGGGCTACTTTTGAGAGCCCCGCGCTCCCAAATTTTTAATTTCGCTACTAGCGACTTTTTGGGCTAGTTTAAACGCAAGTTGGGCTACTTTGGGCTATTAATATTAAGAAATAAAATTATGATTATTTATGCTTTAATAATATAATCTGTACAAATCACAGCCAAGTCCAACAGCCTGATTGACTAGATCACTGACCGCAGGAGAGCCCTGGTCAGAGACCGGCCCCTGGGGACGTTGATCCTAGGAACCTTTGAAAGAAAAAGTAACCGCAAGGCAAGGTAATCCTCCCCAGGGGCAATAGATTTCCCAACCTTAATTGTTAATAATACTTCATCCCAAAAGCTACACTTGGTTCCACAGATCTTCATTAAGGGGAGAAAGTTATCTAGACATTTACAGATTGATAAATGATGGGAAAGATCCCTTACAGTTAATACCTTTGTCAGGAAGACGATGGTTGGCAAGGAGCGGTAGTGTAAAGCGGCCGTTTGATCAGTGGGGTTCTCTAACAACTCATTACCAAATAGCTTTTTCCTCTTGTGATAAATGTGTTGCAAGGCAACTATTTTCAATGTACGCTGATCCCCAAAATAAGCTATATTTCACATGTTTCAAACCAATCCTAATTGATTTTGAAAGGATGAATTTACTTTATCAAAAGATGAAGCAGATCATAATAGCCTTCACACTGTCTTAGAAAACTTCACTCTTGGAATACTCAGAAGAATCGTTCGTCCTCATCATGCAAAGCTTCCTGTTAATTTGGACTACAATTCTATGTATCTGCCCCTGGAGAAAGTTGACTTTGGTTACGAATTTTCAACACTTCTGGCCACTAACAGACAAAACAATTTTACAACCCAGGAAAAGTTTCAAAATGTTCAAGAAAGATGCGATAATTTTTTAATGAAAGCTTGCAAATAGCTTCTTTCCCGTATTCTAAGTAATGCTGAAACTATAAAAAAAGGTGAAAAATCTGTTACCTATCATAAGCCTAAGCTTACATGGCCACCATTTTCGGAACTTCCGTTAGTATTAGCTGACCAATCTAAGCTTAGTGAAATTGAAAGTCAGTGGCGCCTACTGTTAACCATTGACTAGTCCAACATTTGTTTTGTGTTGAAAATATACAGCTTGCCAATCAGTAATGCCCTGGTTGACCGGATATTTTCGAGAGTAACGTCTGTGAAAACTAAACTGAGAAATCTTGAATGGGAATGGGACTTGAGCTTTTGACATCAGTCTTGAGAATCAAAACATATCTTTAAGAAAATGTAACTTGTTGCTCGTCATTTGAACCACTCATGTCAATGCTTAAATATGAGTCTGCAATATACAAGAACGAGGTTGTGGATGCAGATCAAGATCTTGGTAATCTTCAACTGTAAAGACGTGGAAGGACTTCACACCCATATAAACATCAGAGGTCCGCGGTTGTTCAACGTCCTCCCAACAAGCATAAGAAATATTGCCGGAACAACCGTGGACATTTTCAAGAGGAAACTAGATTTATTCCTCCAAGGAGTGCCGGACCAACCGGGCTGTGGTGGGTATGTGGGCCTGCGGGCCGCTCCAAGCAACAGCCTGGTGGACCAAACTCTCACAAGTCGAGCCTGGCCTCGGGCCGGGCTTGGGGAGTAGACGAACTCCCAGAACCCCATCAACCAGGTATCAACCAGGTATCAACCAGGTATCAACCATTAAGCTTCAAACAGTAAATAATGGTAAGTTATCCTATTATCATATTGGTTAAATATATATATGCAGAGATAATGTTAATAAAACAATTAAAATCGTTTAATGTACTCTATATATCATAATTACTTTGAAACCCGTATCAGGCACTAAACAAAAAATTGGGCCACTCTTATTACAAATTCGCTACTTTTAGACCGTCATCTCGCCACTTTTAGCAATTTGAATCTGGCAACCCTGAGTCGGCCCATTGTTTTGTTAACACGAGGAGTACCTGCACTGCTCTCCCCTCGGGCGTCAAATTTGATCAGTTTTACGCATTTATTTCCATTTGCCGTGTGTTTGTGACCCATTATATACATTTCCCATGGATCCTGGTCAAGGCCCAAGCAGTGGGACGCGTAAAGGAGCGAAGACGTCTGCCAAAGGAGACAAGATAAGTATGATTTACAGAAGGTTACGGGACGATGATAATATTGAAGGGGATGAAACTGATTGTGATAATTTCCAAAGCGATAATGAATTTAGTGAGGCAGGAGAATATGATGTCTCTACAAGTGAGGAGGAGAGTATGATGGAGAGTAAGGAAGATCTGCCGCGTGAAAAGCGAACACGTTCGGTACGTAGTCCAGAGCCTAAGGCTGATAATGTGTGGAGTCGTAGCAACACTCCTCCCATTGTTGATGATTTTACTACAACCCCAGGCCTGACCATTCCCACACCAACGTCTCCCATTACAATTTATACAACTATTTTTTTTACAAGAGCGTTGATAGAAATTCTCACCGTAGAAACAAACTTGTATGCCTCACAGTTTGCTTCAGAGACCTGCAGGAAATTGTGGAAACCAGTGACGGTAAAAGAAATGGCCAGATATTTGGGTCTATGCTTACTGATGGGGATAAGCAAGCTCCCTACCATGAGGATGTATTGGCAAACAAATAAGCTCTGGCATGCTCCGTTCTTCAACATGTCGTCGAGTCGGTTCCAACATATTGGCCAGTTCTTCAATACGTATAACAGCAATGCAATTCCCGAGAACAATGCTGACCGGTTGATAAAAGTGTGACCAGTGATGGAGCATTTTACAAAAAAAATTGCAGAAGTATATGTTCCAAAGAAGGAATTGAGTCTGGATGAAGGTACGATGCCATGGCGTGGCCGACTCTCTTTCAAGGTGTACAATCGCAACAAACCAGACAAATATGGTATAAAATTGTACATGCGGGCTGAATCAACGTCTGGCTACATATATGATTTTGACGTATATTGTGGCATTGGAAAAACTACAGTGGAAACCGTCATGGGGTTGATTCAGCCCCTAGTGAACAAAGGTTATCCTCTGTACATGGATAACTACTACAACTCGGTTACCCTGACAGAGAAGTTACGAGAAGTTGGGGTTTACACATGTGGCACACTTAGACTGCAGCGTGGTGCACCAAAGGAACTGCAACAGCAGGCAAAGGGTAAACTTGCATTGGATACCACCTTGTACAGGCGCAAAGATAACACATTTGTTATACTATGGAAAGACAAGCGCATTGTCTCGCTCATCACCAACTTGCACAATGCAGACACTATGAAGTGCAGCGAAGGAAACACATTCGGAAACGTGACGGAACAACTACACTCGAACTGGTAAAAGTGAACAAACCGAAAGCAATGTGTGGTTATAATCGCTTCATGAAAGGTGTTGATCATTTCGATCAACATGATCAAGAATTACGAGTTCGTAAGAAAAACTCACAAATGGACGAAGATCATGTTTTATTTTATGCAAATGGCCTTGCATAATGCATTTGCTTTGTATAGGAATCACACAAGTGATAGCAAGAAGCTCACATTGCTAGAGTTTCACGAGGTGGCAATTTGGTCCCTACTGAAGTGGAACGCTGAGGAATGGCCTACAACAACAACAACCATACCGCATGCTGCAGACATAAATGCTAACGTAGGTCATCCTGCTGATGCCCCCGTGTCAACACCCGGACCATCTGGTGTGAGGTCTCTCTTCACTTCAACACCTCAAAGCCACGCGTCCTCACCAACTTCACAACACGAGATGTCTGGCACAGAACTCCTTGACCTGACGGCTCTGACAGAAGACTCAGACACAAGTCGTCGTCCTACTCCTCATAAAAGAAACCGACGTATTGTGGATTCTAAACATCGTCTCAACTACAAGTTGACACATGAAATTGTCAACCTGCCAAAACGTCTAAAGTGCCGTGTTTGCTCCAGGTCTGGCATAAGGAGGAACACTAGATACGGATGCAAAACGTGTGATGTGGGATTGTGTACTGTACCTTGCTACACTAGATACCACTGGAAAAAGGTATATTGGGTGGGCAAGAAGTAACCACCCGCAACAGTAACCACTCCACCTACGAAACATCTGTTGAGCAACTTCAGGACAGCTGACCTGAAGGAGGTGGAGTGGATAAAAAATGCTCAACTTATTGTTCTACCATCATCATCCCCTTGGTAAGTACACATATTTCGAATAATTTTTCACCAATAAGATATTATATTTTATACGTTTTGTAGACCATTATTTTGCGACTTTTTTCATACCAGAATGGACACTATATCACATAAAATTCTATGAGTAAACGGGAAACTTCATGAATTATTTTTCGGGTGTAGCGGGTGTGGCTAGCGGGTTGCAGTGGGGTGACATTGCTACAGGCAGGGCTTGGCCCAGTATTTTTATTTCATATGCATACGTCTGTGTAGGGAATTTTATTGCGATCACTATCTTACTATTGTGTTGATATATGTGTTGTAGTGCTAGTTTCTTGTGATACTGTATTCTCGAGTGCTGAAGTGTAATGAGAGGTTCAGTGTCATTCTGTAATGCCTAAACCCATGACAGTGGGGAATCAGGTTAATGATGATGAACTAACATGTAAACAATATAAAAATATTACCGACTTCCTCGACTTACCGACATATTGCCGGCATATTAATGTTACCAACATTCTCGATTTTTGCAGCAGCGGTAAGTCGAGGATGATCAAAGTAGAAGTGTTGTGTTTGTACTGAGAGATTACTGGATTGTGTTGCAGGTTATGGCTGTGCACGTTCAGTCTGTCAGTGTCTCTGGGCGCTGTTCTGCTGCTGCCCATCAGTATTATGAGCAACGAAGTCCTGACCATGTACCGTGATTCTCTCTATGTCCAGTGGCTCAACCTCTCTCTAATTCAGGGTGAGTAGTAACCCCCTTCTGTCTAGTACCGGAGCTTGATCAACTTCACATTCAGGTAGGTGTCTCATAATCCAATATCCGGAGTTAGTAGGCTACTGACCCTCATATTTGCAGTAGCCTTAACTCTTCTTGTAATAATAATAATAATAATAATAATAATAATAATAATAATAATTATTCAGGTAAATGTACATCAAACAAAATGAGTTACAAACCGAATGTTGGATTTCTAGATATAGCTACTAATATGCACAGCATTTTGGGAAAACGTTCTTCGACCATGGTGATTAACTATGTGGCCATTGCTCAATGATTTATTGTATAAGGTGAGCAGCTTTTATAATCAAAAGTCAGTATGTAGCCTATGAATTAGATCAGTATGTAGCCTATGAATTATTTGTCATCTCTCTTAACAATTTTATTATTTGCGTTTCTCTAGAATTAATATAGTATTGTATCATTCATTATCCATTTCTAAATTACATATTTTATATTAAAGTTAAATTATTAATATTTATCCATTTGAACAATTACAGTATGAAATAGTCTTAAGCTCGATTGATGAGTAGGTGTAGTTTAACATTTTTGTTTTAAATGCTTTGCCTGCTTATGCTAGTGTAGTAGGTTTCCTTTTATATTGACAGGAGTCTAAACATAAGATTTACTCATGTTTTCCATTTTTCCCAGTGAACACATTTATATACAGTACAATACCTGTTTTGTATAGTATGTTTGTCAAATAAACATTTGATATTTACAATATTCAATTTGATCCTGTTCTCTCTAATAATTTAGGTTAATGTGTTTTAATATTTTCAGGATTGTGGAACATCATCTTCCTCTTCTCCAATCTGTCATTATTTGTGGGGTTGCCATTTGCCTACCTCTTCACCGAGTCTGAAGGGTTTCCCGGCTCTCGTAAGGTACGGGCAACACACATTCAAAGTCTTACTTCGAGCTGATCAAATACAGTACTGCAGATGTTAAAAACTGGCTTGGAGAATCCAAAGAAGTTTATAAAGAGCATTGATATTGATCATTATCTTCTAGATCATGGGGGGTCCATTTTTAAAAGTTTTTGCCCATTTATACAATATTTTGCTACAAGGGCCTCTCTGTACTTTACACATTAACTATCCTGCAGTACAGTTTGCCAGGTATATAACTCCTTCCATTTTCAAATACTGTATATTATAACTGTTTTCATCTCCATCTTGGTTCAACTTTTCAGGCATGTGGCCATTTTGAATCTGAAATATTTTAATGATCGCTTGGGTAAACAATTGATAAATACTCAGTTGTGCCAACTTAGCTAAAATAACTTTATCTTGTAAAATATTTAAAATTTAGCTCATTAATGACTAATTATCCACATTTGTTGTTTTTATTTGAATTGCTTTGCAATATTTAATGTACAAGAAAAAATCTGTTAATTAACAACTGACAGTTTGATATCATCTGTATTATTTATGTACAGTACAGTACTTGGAAACATTTACATACTAGTGGGGGGTAATGGTGTACAGTAGTGTACAGTGGTGTACTGTATGTAAGTGTTCTGCAGCAAAGATATGCGAACACCCGGGCAACATCAATTTCCTCAGTCGTATGTTCACACGCATGTTACTTAATTTATTGTTTTAAATTTACACCTTCATTTATCAACTATTTACTTATATAATTTTTCAAATAAAAGAAATTAAATAATTATGCTAGTTTGTGTCAAGCTAATCATCCTTTATATTTTTTAACTTGGGTGTTAAAAGTAATACCTCTGGGTTAATATAAGATTGAATTTTTGCACTAATTTATGTTCTAATTTGAGTTGGTTATTGCATATCTTACAGGGGTTACGTGCTCGCATTGTTGAGACGGTGGTGGTGTTGACACTATTAGTGGTGTTGGTATTTGGCGTAGCTGTTATCCTCTCCTTCCTCTTGGGCTACTATGAGCAGGAGAATCTCTCACAAATGATTGGTGAGTACAGATGTAGCTCTTGATTTTGATAGGTCATTGCTGATGGTAGATGTTGGTCCCCCGCATCTCGTGTGATTAGTGTATCTATGAGGGGTAGTCTTACAAAATGGGATACTGTGCCCTCTTTTAGCTGTCTGCATGCATTGTTTTATTTTAATTTGACCCCTTTGTGGATATTAAACTAGACTTAACAAGGGATGCAGTGCCACTGATTGCTCTTTAAATGATTTATTCCATCGCACATGGAATACTGTTCTGTAAATGCCTTCCCTGTTAAGGCAGGGGGGGGGGGCATAGACAGAAATGCTATACTCAATATATAGATTGAGTAAAATACCTGAACTAATTACTGGAATCATCTCAGAATGTTCTCTCTTGAATTGGAAACAAGAGATCACATTATTTATGTTGTACTCTATATGGTTAATGCTTGTCACAATAAACATAACTGATTGGAGTGAGAAATATGGTAGGAAATGTAAAATAGACCCAGTGAATAGTAGGGATGATTTTAGCAGTCAAACACGAAATATCAGAGGTCCATAACTATTCAACCAAATATTTGGACATTGCTGGAAGAAGAGTTAGTCTTCTGTAGAAATATTGACAAGTTTCTGCAAAAAGTCCCAAACCAGCCAGATTGTGATGGCTACCTAAGCTTACAGGTTGTTACCAGGAACAATTTATCTGATCAAGTTATCAAAAGGAAAGCCTAGCCTCAGACTGGCTGTAGGTGTACCCACAGGAAACTATTCAGAACATATACACCTGAGATTTTTCGTATCTGTATGAAGAGAAGGGGTTACTGTACTTTGCAGTTACCTTGCGATGGTTCCGAGGATTGGTGTTCCAGTGGCCTGGTCTGAGCCTCCTTGTTGGTGGTCTAGTCAACCAGACTGACACGGCTGCTCACAGCCTGACATATGAATCACAACCTGGTTGATCGTATCCTTTGGATGTGTTTATCAATGCAGTACATTTTTCAAAATCACTGCATGGCATAGTGCTAGTAGAGATTTTGTAGGTTTTATATTATGGTATAGGGCTTGAGGGACTGCATAGCAAGAGAGAGAGAGACAACTCTTGTTTCTCTCTCTTGTTTTCCCCCAGATTCAGAAAATGATGGGGGCGTGTGTTGTTCAACAGTACACGAGTTGGTAATAGTTCAGGATGAACTGAAATGTTGTAGTTCCTTCAATTGTGGGATGGATGTCAACTCTTCAGCCACATTATTGTGACTCATCATCTGCATGTTATTCATCTGTTACTTTTTTTTTGTTAAGAAATTAATTTGCAAGTACTGGATGTAAATTTTGAAATGTTGCATGGAAGAACTTACAGTACTGTAACTATCAATCAGTCTTGTGGAATTTGTCTAAATAACATAACAAATGCATTTGTCAGGTGTGTGATTTATTAGTTGTTAGTACTGGTATTTGTTATTTATTTTGACTGTACTAAGAGACAAAAGCAGACATGATTTATTATTTACAGTACTTGTATACAAATATTTCCAATTATAGCCTAGGTCTGGGGTGGGATTTTCCAATCAGGGGTGAACTGTTTAACAAAGATTAAGAGTGCCTCTGTCAGTCTTGGGTCTTGAAACTAAAAGTTCCATTCTCACTGCTATGTTAATGGTGGTGATTACATTTTAAGAGGCTTCACTTAGCCGTAGGCTGTAAATAAATACAATACTAGTCTCCTGACCCCAGTACCGTCTCCCTTTGTGATCTCTACACAAGCTTTATATTTAGCACAACACCTCCATTTTAAAACAAAAGAGATGTTGCCTTTGGAACATTCGTTAAGAATGGAACAAAATACTGTACCTACTCATTTCTTATTTTTCATGATTAATAATGTATGATTGCTTAAATAAATGAATTCGTAAATTTGGCTAGTGTTTATCTTGTTAAATATTGTAGATACTAATAGTGACCATACCCTTTAGCATTTTTTCAGTTTGATACATTAAGTTGCCATTGCGTGGAAAATTCAGAAAGTTGAAATGGAATTTTATTTAATAATTAAGGTTCCTTCTCTGCACTTGCTTTCAATTAACTGAAAGTTCAGTTGTGTACTGCAGTCAAACTTCATATGAAAGTTCTTTACTCCAGTCAAAAATTACACAAAAGTTCTTTATACATATTTAATGAAATATACTTAAACCATTATTTTGGTCTTGACGTGTCTGTATGAAGTTGAATGTTTGCCATATATGGATTCAATACTTGATAAAGGGGATCAGCCATTTTATATATATGGTCAGAGTAAAGTTTTGTAGTTATGTACATCACTGTGTCTCATGCAGTGGCTGATTCCTTAAATTGGTAGTTAAACATTTTTTATTCAAATGCATCCTGTACTGCTACATTGTTTTGTGTACTATATATTTTGTATGCTTACATGACAGTCATTTCATAGCTTGGTGATGGTACAGGAAAATCAACACCTCATTTAGTGCGACATGATTGTGGAGTTTAGTAATATACAGTCATGAATTGCGTGACAAATTACTAGCATGACTTGGGGAGTAGAAGAACTCCCAGAACCCCATCAACCAGGTATCAACTCAACCAGGTACCTGTACATGGAAAGTTCCAGGGCTAAAGTTCAAATCTCCAAATCAGTCTGGTTTTCATTGGGTGAGAAATACTAAAGAGAACTGTCACTGGTGTCCTTGGCTGGGAACTACTCCTTCTAATGATTTATTCTCTTCTTCCCAGAATACTGTATTGTAAAGAGAAGGCCTAGTGATCAATCTCTCCATATGTACTGTAAATATGGGAATGTTTCACGAATATACCATGATTTTTGAATAAAATTTGCCATCGCAAAATTTTGTAAAAACTAAACTCCGACCATTTGATTGCTATGTTCTACCCACTGATGTTCATGGAAAATTAGTTATGTTTTAGACTTTTGTAATATACAGTAAAGTATATACCAAATGTGCAAGTATTTTTTAGATTGTCTTGGGTTAATTTAGATTTTTTGCTGACTTCAGTACTATATATAAAAAAGCTCCTTATGTTGTCTATTTTTCCCCCCCCATCATTAGCTAAATTAGTTATACTGTAAATAGTTTCTTTATGGTTTGTTGTAGGCATGACAATGAAAACGGGAACCAGTTGGCAGATGGTGGTCGCCTTTGTTTACATCGTTCAGCAGGTTAAGTTAGGTCAGCTGTGTGACCCTTGGTGTGCCCTTGTGGGATTCTGCTTACTCTCTAACTGTTTGGTTTAGCTGCGATCACACATTACAGTATTCTATTTGACGCTGCATGTTTCAGTGTGATCATACTTCGTATTTAGAAGTGTTTCAGAGACAACTCGTGAGAAATGATATATTCATCTGTTTTGCTCCCAAAATTTGTGCTATTATGCTACTAATGACTAAAGTCTCTATTCCAATGATGTTTACACCATGCTTATACAGATCCTTGGACACAGACACTTTATCTCTCCAGGTATATGTTTTGCATCTAGCACTATATGGCAACTAGAGATGCAGTGAGCTAAATTGCATTGTCCTTGTTTCTTGCACTCGTTTAGTTGCATTAATATAGTGAATTTGTTTCCTATAATGTGTACATGATATTTTATTTCAGGACTTCAAACTTCAATTTTGCAGGTCCCCAGTGCTTGATTCGAAGGAGGTATTTCCCGTCTTTGGTGTGGTTTGATGGCATCAATGTGGCTCTGAACTCCCTTGATTGCATCACCGTGGCTCTAAATGCCTTTGATTGCATCAACGTGGCTCTAAATGCCTTTGATTGCATCAACGTGGCTCTAAATGCCTTTGATTGCATCAACGTGGCTCTAAATGCCTTTGATTGCATCACCGTGGCTCTAAATGCCTTTGATTGCATCAACGTGGCTCTAAATGCCTTTGATTGCATCATCGTGGCTCTAAATGCCTTTGATTGCATCATCGTGGCTCTAAATGCCTTTGATTGCATCATCGTGGCTCTAAATGCCTTTGATTGCATCATCGTGGCTCTAAATGCCCTTGATTGCATCATCGTGGCTCTAAATGCCTTTGATTGCATCATCGTGGCTCTAAATGCCCTTGATTGCATCAACGTGGCTCTAAATGCCTTTGATTGCATCATCGTGGCTCTGAACTCCCTTGATTGCATCATCGTGGCTCTGAACTCCTTTGATTGCATCACCGTGGCTCTGAATGTGCCCATCCTGTCTTGGGACTTGAATGCTTGGCGACTTCACAGCCAAGTTTCCCTTTGGTGCATTATCTTGTTATTGCTGTTGTTGATTTTAAAGTTCACTCAAACGGCATACAGTGGGGGATCCCCCCATTATCCAGCTCCCCCTTTTTATGGATTCTTTGGTTAACTAGAAAGACTGAAATTCGGTTCTTCACCCACTTATTTAGTGGGTGGAGAGTTTCATGTTGGGTGAGTAGGGTTCCTTTCTGATGAAATCAAGAAGTCTCACCATGAGTTGTTAATGGTGAACACAAAAATTTGATTGTTTCTAGGCAGAGTGAGACAGCTGAGCTAGTCTGCCTCTGTTCACCTAGCAAATAGGTACTTGTACGTTAGTCAACTGTTGCAGGTAGCTTCCTAAGCAATGGTCAAACACTACATGTATTTAAGGAAATGTTGAATTTTCCACAAAGACTCAAACTAGTTAATATATTCATGTATTCCCTATTAAACACCATTACCATTATTTTTACACATGTCTGTGAAATACATAAACAAAGCAAATTTATAACAAAATTGTCACACCACGTTTTCAGTTTCTATTACTTTTTGGTTCAGTAATTACTCTTTATCACATCTGCTGCTCTATACAACTATTATGTTTTCTTAATATTATTGTTTGACAATGTTTCAATCACTTTTATTCACTTAAGTCTCAGGGCTAAGAAAAGTGTCTCGAATGATAATACATTTATTTAACAAGTAAGGGTTAGGGGTATAATACACAAATTGATATCAGCTTGTCCGATACAACACCAGGAGCCAGATTCACAAAAGCACTTAAACAAGCACTTACAAACCTGTCCATCTTTTCTCAATCTTTGGCGGCTTTGTTTCCAATTATTAAACAGTTAATGAGCTCCGAAGCACCAGGAGGCTGTTTATAACAATAACAACAGTTGAATGGGAAGTTTTCATGCTTGTAAACTGTTTAATAAATGTAACCAAAGCCGTCAAAGATTGAGGAAAGATGTACAGTACAGGTTCGTAAGTGCTTGCGTAACTGCTTCGTGAATCTGGCCCCAGAGTCATATGTGTACTCAAGTCCTCACACCAGCTTCATCCTGGGGGTTTTCATCACTTTTATCCTGCTGCAATCCACACTACACAAGAGGATCCTTCTCTTGCTCCTCTTCTAAGGAGCATATATCTTTTCTTTCTTCAGTATGGACACTACATGCTGTCTTCCAGGTTTTTGTGACTTCTCTATATACTGTATTGGCTAATGAAACGGTACAGTATAGACCTTAGAGGATTATGTCATGTGATGACCAAGCCACATGTCACAAAATGGAGAAAAGACTACGCCTCAGCCCATTCTGGTCCATTATCAAGTCTTGTCACGCAACTTGATAATGGTCCAGGACGGACCAAAACGTCGTCGTGTCTCCATTTTCTGATGTGTAGTTTGGTCATCATATCTTGAGCCACATTATTGTGACTCAGTATTACATTGCATCTCTGTTGCCTCTTTCTATATACATGACAAAACTCTTGTGTGGTCCTATTGCTTTGCTTACATCTAATTCTTCCAGGTGATTTTTATTATCTCTTCAGTTACTACTACTATATCCTACATAATGACTTCTGGCTTTCCATTATCATTATCCACCAGCCTTCCATTCTGGCTCTACTTTGAGTCTCTGGAAGCTCCTGTTGATGTCTTTGCAGACTATCTTGTCACTTGAACCGAGGAAGTTTCCATTGATTTCAATCTAATAACTTGGTCTTCTACTGTTGAGTTGCTGCTTATTTGACTGTGCAATTGCCATAACACCTCAGTGGTCATTTTGCTTACTCTAACCATTTGGTTAGCCATTTTCAAACAGCCTATTTAATGCTCTCCAGATGCTACTAATATATGTCTGTCCTTAGTGTGTCCATTTTTCCAGTCTTTGTTATTTTTGTTTTTTGTTTCCTTGTGTGTATGCAATTGCGTGTAGATGCGCATGCATGTTTTGAGTACATCAGGATTTGTGAAAATGTGAGTATCATCACGTATGCCCATGTGTGTGCTGATAAATAAATATAAATAAATATGTTTATTCAGGTAAGGTACATACATACAAGTGATGTTACATTAAAGGATTGATATATAGATAGAGCTAGTACATACAATGCCTAAAGCCACTATTACGCAATGCGTTTCGGGCAAAATGATGTTTTTTTTTTTTTATGCTTAGCAATATTTCCAGTCCTTATGGTGAGCCGGTCTGCACTGTATAGGGCAAGGTTCATGGATTCTGTCACCAGAATAATCAGCCCTGAATGATCTCATGCCCACAAAAGTGTAATTTTGTCTTCTGGAAGGGAACGGGCGAGAGCCAGGGAATTTGTGGCACCAATATGCATCGTGGGCAAGATGACTTTTCTTCAGAGTTGGCCACAGTAGTTGCTGAGGAGTAGACAATCTTGTATAGTAATTTATAATATTGAATGCTGCTATATTTTCCTGTGTAATATTATATTAGATATATTAGTTTTCCTGTGTAATATTAGTTCAGATATATATATATATATATATATATATATATATATATATATATATATATATATATATATATATATATATATATATATATATATATATATATATATATATGTATATATATATATTATATATGTATATATATATATTATATATGTATATATATATATTATATATGTATATATATATATTATATATGTATATATATATATATATATATATATATTATATATATATATATATATATATATATATATATATATATATATATATATATATATATATATATATATATATATATATATATATATATATATATATATATATATATATATATATATATATATATACATATACACAGTATATATATACTGGATAGGTGTGCTGTTGATGAAATCAATGCCATATACCTTATAGCCATTAGCTTGTGGTAAGAGATCCTAAAACATTTGTTCAGTAAGTTTAGCAAATTTCAGGAAATATTCTCTACTCTTTCAAAAAAATGAAAGTGAATGCATAATAAAGAACATTAGTTTTACTGTTTTGTGAAATTTATAGTGAAATTCCAACACGTTTAAAACATTTTAATATTTTAATGGCATTTAGGAATCATATCATAAAAAAAATCATTCATAACAAATTCACCTGATAATTGTAATGGGTGTATATACAAATTGTAACATTTCCACCAAATTTTGTGGAATAAACTGGTAAGTAGCTAGACAAGACAGTAAATAAATATAACATAAGGACTGGCTAAGATTCTAAGGCATAATATTTTTTCTTAAAATCATATTTGGATTTCATAGTGCATAGTTAGTACATAATCCATAATGGTACATAATCCATGGGCAACTCAAATGGAAGAAGTTACTAAAGGATTGGAAAAGTGTAAAGGGGAAAGGAAAGAAACATGTGTGCAAGTTGTAAAAGAGAAACAATCAAGGAAGTATGTTTGAAGGCCAAGAACAGAAATGAAGTCAGGATCTGACATTAGACAGGTGTATATACCAAATATACCAAAGCTAGAAGATAAAAGAAAAAAAAGAGGCAATATGATCACTATTTACAAAATAGTAAAGGGAATCTACAAAACTGATAAAGAAGAATTCTTGAAACCTGGAACCTCAAGAACAAGGGGTCATAAATTTAAGGTAACTAATCGTAGCTGCCCCCCAAAATTAGAAAGTTCACTTTTGCCAACAGGATGCTAGACAGTTGGAATAAGTTAAATGAGAAAATGTTGGAAACCAAAACTGTCGGTAGTTTGATAGCATTATATGACGAAGAGTGCGGGGAAGGCGGGACACCGTGAGCATAGCTCTCATCCTGAAACTATACTTGGGTAATTACACTTATTTCACTGTAGACTAGTAAAATACTATACTGTACTGTGTGAATGTTTTGGTAGCATTGCTTCAGTTAGTAACACCCTATTAAATATGAAGAATGTTACCCTTGAATCTTAGACGATACTAACCACAACGTTGATTTGGTCCTGTGACACTCTGGACTTGTTTTTTGACCATCTGAACACAAGGTCCCTCAGTCGTGGCATTGCCTCAAGGTGCCAGGTGCCGCAACCTCCCCATGTGCCTCCCATGATAGCCTCGCTGTGTGCTGGGTTGTCCCGCATCATATGGAAACACTGAATTGGAAAGAAAAACAATTTACAAATCGCATAAACGAGAAATGCATAGTTTGCATAATTTCATGTTTGATTATTAAGGAGTACTGTATTGAGGTAGTAAAATATGTTAACATGATTGAGAAAATAGAATTTTGAACATTTATACAGATGGCAGGGTATGGAAATTAATATCCATACCAGTATTATTTTAATTCAAAAGGTTTTAAACACCTGCTAATTTCTTTCAGTATTGCAGTTATTTTATATTTTTTAATTTACATGTTTGGCCACTTGTTGATGGGACTTAAGTTGTATTTCTAGACATGCAGGTAAGATTATGTAGGTGCTAATGAAGTACAATGGTTAGATTGAAAAACTAAACCCGTCGTTTCATGAGTACGCTGATCGTGGACTCTGCAAGAGGTCTAAAGTATAAGAGATGTGTTAGTGTGGACTAATCCCAGAATCATGAATTGTATTAAGAGCGAAATCTTTATTTTAAAATTGATTTAGAAGCAGGAATTGAACAAATATATTAATATATATTTCTTGCCTCTTTTGTTGGTCTGTACTGAAACTTTGGCTATAAGTCTTAACAGTGCTCGTATAATGACAAGCGTTTGTGTATGAATTTTGTAGCTTGAAAAGAATAGAAAATGCTGGATGCCATTAGCATAATTCTGCTTTGTATCTCATTTCCATTACTGTACTGGGCATGTATAACGTAACTTACCTTATCAGAATTCAGCCATTCTTGTACGGCATCAACTTCACGCTGTAAAATAGGGGAGTCGGTGTCCCGTATGATAAATCTCTGTACCAGTGGATCTCCCATCACAGCTAGTCTCCAAACGGTTCCTATTGTCCACTGTATGTCACCAAGGTCTGCCAGTTTTGGTACTGATTACTTGAATATCATTACGTCTCTTACAGTAGTGAGATTAGTTTTGTATAAAGTATACAAGCACTGTATATAAGAATATTAGAGAGAAATGTAAATTTAGTGAAATAAGGAGTACAGTAATTTTAGTGTGTTAAAAGTTGGCACAGTATATATTCTATGTGATTACTTTTTTCTAGCATAAAATGAGATTAATGTAGATTGTATGGAAGTTTTATTGGTGTAAGACACAGCATTACTAAAAGTGAATTTGGGCAAAAAACATTGTTATAAGAGAGGAAAGGGAATTATCACTGTGAAATTAACACGAATGGAGAAGCAGTAGAAATTGTTGAAGGGTTTAAATGTCTGAGCTGTGTTACAGACCAGGAGTAAGCTGTACAAATTATATTGAGAGTACAGTGAGTCAAGGAAGAAAAGTGGCTGGTGTATCGATAGTTCTGGTTAGAAAGAATATGATTGGAAGAAATGCGGCCAGAGGGCTGGATGGAGTGGAAGTTCTGACCCTGTATCTGGTATGGATGCAAGCTGCTGGTGTGGCATGAATGATAAATATAAGGAATTAGAGCAGAAAATTGGACACTATTGAGAATCATGTGTAGTGTTAAGAGAATGAGTTAGAAAATAAAATTCCATTAAGAGATGTAGAATGCAAAAATGTCTTAAGTTATTTGATTGATGACAGTGTACTTACAGAATAAATGGTTTGATTTTTGCATGTACAGTATTTAACAAAACTCATGAGGATCAGTGTACAGTTCAGTAAAACTGGTCTTGTGAAGCAGTAGGGGTACTGTATTAAATGATTGGCCGAACATTGTTGGTACAGCACTTGTTTATGTGTAATGCTGTGTGATGTGTAAGATGGGTATAATTTTAATGTTGGACTCACTTTCCAGTATTGATTGCCATTTTACTCCAGGATATTGCCATCCTGCCCTACCATACTGGAAAATGTGGTGATGATAAATCTATGGAAAATTTTTTAATGTATATATATATATTAGTACTTATAATGTGCTTCACAGTTCTCTATGCCATCAGTGAAAAAATAAAACTTTGCACTTTATTATGAAAACAATGACAGAATTATAATTTTTCAGTTCTGATAATTATTTACTTTTTTATTATTTTGCTTGTACAGTATTTGAGGAGTTGTCCCAATACAGTACAGTACATCATGATTAATGAGGATATTTAATTTACCTCCCGGGAGATTTCCAACATAACAAAAATCTAGCTGTTTGTATTTGCATGCAAGGGAGCACATCCACTTCTTCTTGACTGGGTCGGAGAAGTCCAGGTCGTGATAAAACCGAACTGACCAACCCGGGTACACCCGTGATAGCCTCTGCATCAGAGTAAAAGCTCCACTGTAGTAGGAGCTCGGGAATTTGCCAAATAAGCTAAAGCTTACTACCTGAAAGTGAGAGCATATGTTAAGCAGTGTTGCTGTGTGCCGACAGATTTGAGTGACTGACCATTTGGTAAAGGGAACTGTGAATTATGTTCATTATCACTTGAACATTTCTCTCTCCTCACCATAGCGTGAAGTTGGGGGAGGGGATCATAATAATTAAGATGATATTCACACCTTGATAAAAAAAGAATCATAAATAAGATAAATGCAAATAAAAACCATTAATCATCATTCATATAAAGATTCACATGATAGTACACAACTGTTGTATGTCAGCAGAACATAAAATAATAATTTTAAACTGTTGATAGTTCAGATTCAAATTCAAGAACTTTATTCGTAAATGTTTGTACATTTATAGTGGGGAAAGTCTCCACAAATTTATAGTAAGTTGTTTACCTATGAGACAATCACAATAATATCCTGTCACTGTTGCCAACTCATGAAGGTTCTTAATGCCTTTTGAATCTTGGCCCTTGTAATCCCTTTATAATGAGGATACAGCATTAAATGCACCTCATCTTTAATAGATAAACTGATACACAGCCAACACTGTATCAGTGTTTAATTTGTATCGCCATTTAAACACACACACACACACACACACACATACCATCACTACAAAAACTATCCTAAATTCAAAATTTTTCCTGGTAATTACTTTACTGTCATTGATACTTCTATAGGCAAATGTTGTGAAGAAAGATGGCTAGATACCCCCAATAATAGCCTACTTGACATTAAAAACAAGTTATCCTCAAATTAGAACTAGAAAACTTCCTTATTACTCAACTAATTTCCCATTATAAGGAACAGTATACCATTAAACTTCTCGAGGTCCTTCAGGCCAACAGCTGACATTCCCCAGGATGCAACCCACAACAGTTACCAAACTCTCAGGTATTTATTTACTGCTAAGTGGACAGAGGCATCAGGTGTAGGGGGGAACGTGGCCAAACGTTTTCTCGTGCCTGGACAACTAACCTGAGATCATTTGGCTGCTAGTTACTTGCGCTGATGACTGCTACAGGCCACCATGGTAGTGTTCCATGTACTGTACTCATATATCTAGTACATTTCAATTGAAACAGAAAATATTTAAATTTTCTAAATGAAAAATTGAATTTGCTTCCCAACAATTACTGGAAACCAAATGTCACTAGATAAAGTGCTTAGTTGATCCGATGCATTTAATCTGGACAAACTTTAGTCTTATTACCAACCTGCATAAATATTTCTAATGTTATACAAGTAAGTTTTATTAATTGAAATGGACCATAAAGCAAAGCTGAAAGTTGACAGCGTAGTTCCTAAAATGATTCCCATGCAAAAGAAAAAACTTTGAAAGTTTTAATAATAGATATTACATTATCTATACTTACTGTACAGTACAAATTATATGCTGCACTGCCACACAAGAGTTAACTAAAGACTATAGAGTTTTCTCTTGTATACTCACAGACTGATTAGTTCCTCGCATAGTCGCCCAGTCATTGCATGTTGATTCCTTCATTTCGTCGTATATTTTTGTATGTATTTGGCTTTGCCCTATTGTCTCATTTGGACATGGTGTTGCAGGCGTCAAGTGACGTGTACACGAACAAGGAGCAAGGTTTAGCAGTATATCACATGAATTTTCTGTGAAGGAGTTGTGAGTGGATCTTTCCTCTTGTGTGTTATAATAAGTGATATTTGCACTGTCATGGGTGCCTGGTAGAACATGTCTTCGGAAATGTTGAAAATTTACATTAGTTTCCTGCAGTTTGCTTTTGTGGTGTGTGTTATTTATCTCTTGAGTGTATATTTGATCAGCACTGTTTATTTTTGTAGTATTTTGTTGATCTTTTGCCTGTTGCCATTTGGTTTGGAGGAAATTTTTCCTTTGTGGTGGGTCATACCCAATTTTTTCCATGTAGGCACGTGCTGCTTTATGAATGCGTTCAACACCTTCCAGGATTTGTTCCAGATGTTGTTGCTTAGTATTTGATTGAATGTCATCCCCTATGTCATCTGTTAGCTCTATTTTGTAAGCGTTAGCATTTACTTGGTTACGTTTTTTTGGGACAATAGGCCTAATGTTATTTGGAGTATATTGATAAATCTTGGACTCATCGTTGATCAAGGTGCTTGCCTCTGTATTGGGGAGTTGTCCAGTATCTTGAATCATCATCCAAGGCAGATCTTGCATTGGGTTTGAGATATTAGGTGATTGTGTGACAGTCTTACCAGGTCTTGTGAGGTGGGTTGAAGCTTGCATGCCCAGTATTCGACAGTACAGGGTTCCAAGTACAATACTTGCCATTACAATTAGGGTTATCCTTATTGAACAAATACTGGAGAATCTGCATCGCATCTGCCAGGACATTAAAAAAATTTAATTTGAATGTATAGAGTAAAACCAACTAGCTCATTGCATGTTTGTTTGGGTATAACAGTTAGGCTCGTTTCATATTTAATTGGGAGTTTAATGGAATATTTTATTGTTTAAGTTTTGTAATATAATTAAAGAATCGTATATACTGTAATTATTTCAGCAAAATTAATGTTTCCTACGGGGCCGATTGTTATACATTGTTTAGAAAAAAATTGTATTAGATTTTAGGTTGCAAGTTGGTGTATAGAGCAAGTAGGAGCAGGTGAAAACACTTTCCCCTGGGGCCGAGTATGACAAGGCATAGGTGAAAGCATCTGGTTATAGGGGGTAAATTGGACATAGAGCAAGTACTATATCAACACTTAACCCATGGATGTACTGAACAAGGTCAAGTGTAATGCATATAAGGGGCAACAACTTCAAGCTCAACAAGCCACCGTGTACGACAATACAGATGCTTTTTACACCCATAGGTTTATTAACCCACGGAACTGCCTACCCGCTGAAGCCATAGCCAACGCATTACTGCAGTTCAAAATCCAGTTTGATAAAATTTTCAGGAACAATTAGAGAAGGGGGGAACTTTGATAAGGTGTCAGCTTCCTGTCCCTATCAAGGCCTCTGGAAAGATAAGAGTAAGGTAAGTTGGGAAGGTTGCTGTTGAAAGTAATAATCCTATGGGGTAAGTTTCACGAGGAATAGGTTGAATAATTTCCTCACTTGGTTAATTTGGGCACGAATTACCGTAGGTGAAAATAGTTAACCATTGATGTAAGTGAGCATTTTAATCACTTTCCCATTAAGGTAAGTTGAACAAAAAATTGGTGAAAATACTTGCATGGATGAATAGACTAACTTGAAAGTGCATGGCAATGCTGAGCAAGATAAAAAGAGTCAATGAGAAGAGTTTTGATAGAATGTACATTTAAAACGAAGTCAGGATTGATGGCGACCAGTCTATCAATACATATCTCTAAAATGCCTTTGATGCCTAGGCCTCATTACTAGCTCGGAAATATACCAACTGAGGCAAATTTTAAGGCGTAAAAATTTGTTGTCTGTTAACCAAAGATTGTTTTAATTTGTTCGTATATTTTTGTTATGCACAATATTAGGCAATGTAGTATAAATATGTGCATAATATGAATGACATACAACATTTGACTCGTAAATTTAGCAAGGTTAAGTTTGTATAGTCTGTAGCCTACTGTATAATAGGCTAGACTGGGGGGGGGGGGATATTTTACCTTACCTGATAAGCCAGATGGGAGCTTTACAGCTGTAAATGTAAACTGTTAATGTGCAATGATTTTCTCACTTCTTGAAAGCTTTTTCTCTGTGTATATGAATGTGGATGTGTCTTGTTGTATGTTAAAGGATGTGTATTTATGTATGCATATGTATGTGTATTTATGTATGCATATGTATGTGTATTTATGTATGCATATGTATGTGTATTTATGTATGCATGTGTTTATTTATGTATGTGTATTTACATATGCATATGTATGTGTATTTACATATGCATATGTATGTGTATTTACATATGCATATGTATGTGTATTTACATATGCATATGTATGTGTACTTACGTATGTATGTATGTGGATGTTTATCTACGAATGTGTGTGGATGTGTATTTACGGATGTATGTGCATTTATTTGTATTTACATATAAATATGGATGTGTATGTACGTATGAATATGGATGTGTATTTACGTATGAATATGGATGTGTATTTACGTATGAATATGGATGTGTGTTTACGTATGAATATGAATATGTATTTACGTATGAATATGGATGTGTATGTAGGTATGCGTTTATTTGAGTGTGTGTATTTCTGGGAATAATTCGTTGATGTAGATGTGTGTGTGTGTGTGAGTGATGGAGGTGGAGGTGGCGGAGGCGACACACTTAAAGAGACCAACGGTGGGTCAGCGACTGACGCCACCACTGGTGACGACGACATACTTCTCCACCTTCACCCTGGGTGTCTCCCCCTCCCACGGTCGCTCATCCACGCCCTCCCTCCCACCCACCCACTCTTGGGGAAGGGTGGGTGGGGGGGTTTCTCCCCTCCCATGGTCGGTGACCCACGCCCTCCCTCCCACCCACACTTGGGGAAGGGTGGGTGAGGGGAGGGGGGTCTTTCCCCTCCCATGGTAGCTGATCCACGCCCTCCCTCCCACCCACACTTGGGGAAGGGTGGGTGAGGGGAGGGGGTCTTTCCCCTCCCATGGTAGCTGATCCACGCCCTCCCTCCCACCCACACTTGGGGAAGGGTGGGTGAGGGGAGGGGGGGGTCTTTCCCCTCCCATGGTAGCTGATCCACGCCCTCCCACCCACCCACACTTGGGGAAGGGTGGGGGGTCTCTTTTCCCCTCCCATGGTAGCTGATCCACGCCCTCCCACCCACCCAACTTGGAAAAGGGTGGGTGAAGGGAGGGGGGTCTTTCCCCTCCCATGGTAGCTGATCCACGCCCTCCCACCCACCCAACTTGGAAAAGGGTGGGTGAAGGGAGGGGGGTCTTTCCCCTCCCATGGTAGCTGATCCACGCCCTCCCACCCACCCACACTTGGGAGAAGGGTGGGTGAGGGGGTCTGTCTCTTCCCCATGGTCGCTGATTCACGCTCTCCCACACACATGCCTTCGCGGGGAGATATGATCACTACCTACAACATTCTTAGGGGAATCGACCGGGTAGATAAAGACAAATTGTTTAACACGGGTGGTACGCGAACAAGGGGACACAGGTGGAAACTGAGTACTCAAATGAGCCACAGAGCCGTTAGAAAGAACGCTTTCAGTGTCAGAGTAGTTAACAGGTGGAATGCATTTGGCAGTGATGTGGTGGAGGCTGACTCCATACACAGTTGTAAATGTAGATATGATAGAGTTCAGTAGGCTCAGGCATCTGTACATCAGTTGATTGACAGTTGAGAGGCGGGGGCCAAAGAGCCAGAGCTCAACCCCCGCAAGCACATCTAGGTGAGTACACCCACTCACACTTGGGGAAAGGATGAGTGAGGGGTCTCCCCTCCCATGGTCGCTGATTCACTCCCACCCCACCCACCTTCCCGTTCAGGACTATGGAGTAATACCCTTGATTTTCAAGTGATCAGTTCCATATAAGCGGGATACAGGGCGTAAGCAGATCTCATTGTTAATAAACAACAAGTAAAACATCCATAAGAATAATGATGCCGGACAAACTAACGTTTAGTAACGAAGCAAACGTTGTGTCAGACAGGAAAATGGCGAACTCTGGAATGAAGGAAGTCCACCACAATTACTTCCCAAATATCTCCAACACCCCCCCCCCCCCCCCCGGCCACCTTCAGTACTGCTCGGTGCACAATTCGCTGTTCACCTCAAACAGGAAATGTGTCTGAAATAGAAGGAAATGTATCTGAATATAGAAATCGCAGACATACACAGTACAAAAAAAATACTTAAATTATTGGGGCTGTCTCGACGTCCTTAAACTGTGCTTCTGGGAAGAATGAGATTTTATATATATAAAATATTTATGGAAGCTACTCCATGGTCAGATCCCAGATACGCGCAATTGAATAACTAATTTGAGCGAAAGATGCGATAGGACTGAACAGTGGCACAATCAAAGAGCACTGTGAATATCTGGGATCAACGGCTCTTCTTCCTCTCTCCACCAAGTAAAAGAAATAATGTTGGAGTACAAGTACTTGCCTATTAGTAAGTACAGTACGTGCAAGTACAAGTGGAGGTGCTCAAGAGACAGACTTAATTATAATTCAGTTCCTGCAGGAAGATTCAACCGCGGGGGGTTGTAAGAGACAAGGCTGGCCTGCCTTGTGTATTTATAATATATAAACTGGGATCTAAAATGTTAGGAATGCGTATGAGGGGTGTGCACGCAGAATTAGAGGTGTGGTGAGAGGCAGTAGTGTGACTTGCCTGTGTGTCACCGTTATATGGTGGTTGGCTTCACCTCCACTGTCGCCCCATATCCTCTCTCGCCTGGTGTATTTTAGCAGTCAGTTTTTTTTTTTAAAGCAAGCACCATATACCTATCCCGTGGGCGGTGGTGGAAAGGTTGACAGAGACACATGAACTGAACCCCACCGTTCATTTAACAAAGCACTCATTTTACATGAAGTACTTACCCATTTCTTGATTACCATTGACACACGGCCCTGAATTTGCCGTTTTTTTTTTCACACTCGATTACAGTGTCGCAAAGTATGTGAATAGTTTTTCTGACAGTTTACATTTAGTCAAGTCTACATCAGGTGGTGGTGCAAATTCCCAGAGGTACTTGTAGCCTAGCCAAAGTTTAGTCACAGTATTGTCTGGTAGACTGCTTATTGGATGATATATAGGTGTATATAGGTGATGTATAGGTGTATATAGGTGATATATACGGGGGGGGGGTCTTCATTACCCTTCACCCCCCCCCTCCCACCTCGTTTTCTCCCATTTTGGTTTTCGGAAACGCTCCTACGTCAGAATAGTTAAGTTATAACACCATGGGTCCAGCAAGTTGTTTATTCCCTATCTTTCATCTTTTCCCCTCTTTTTCCTCTTTCATTTCCTTTTCCACCCTATTTCTCCCCCACCCTAGTGTGTCACATCCATACGTTCCTGTTTCCCCTATTTTTTCACATCCACATTTCGTGTTCCCGTTACCCCCCCCCCCCCTTCCCTTTTTTCCCCGTTCCCACATCTTGTTTTTCCTTCCACTTCATGTTTTCTTCCCCCTTGTCCTCTTCCCACTCCTTGACTTTCTTTACAACCACCTAGTTCTCCTTACAGTTACGTCATCTCCGAACCTATTTTCCCCTAACCTTTACCTATTCTTCCCCAAACCTTTACCTAATCTTCCCCCTAACTTTTACCTAATCTTCCCCAAACCTTTACATATTTTCCCCTAACCTTTACCTATTCTTCCCCTAACCTTTACCTATTCTTCCCTAAACCTTTACCTATTCTTCCCCTAACCTCTATCTAATCTTCCCCTAACCTTTACCTATTATTTCCCTAATCTTTACCTATTTCCCCCCTAACCTTTACTTATTTCCCCCCTAACCTTTACTTATTTCCCCACCCATTTCCCACCTCGGCGTGGGATTTCCTTATAAATATTTCCACAGGTCATTTATCCTTTGTTGGATTAAGGCGAGTTGGATAAAGTACCCATTTATCCATTTATCCATTCACTGGATAAAGTACCCATTTATCCAAATTGGCATTTATCAGGTGTACAGATATTTCGATGTCGGTTGTATTTCTTAATTGTACAGTATTTCTTTGTTGAAATGCGGTCCGTCTAATTACCACAAGCTACACAAAGCTTCCTGGCAATACGTTAGTAATGAATAAATATGATATATTTACTCATTATAATGTTGGTGCTGAATGTACAACACGAAAAAAACATAATTTTAATCTGAAAAAGTATCTTTTTATAAAGAAATTAGGCGAAAATAAAAAAAAGCTGGTGACGCCAAATCAAGTCGACGATCCAAGCTTCAGTTAGGTTAGGTTAGCTTAACCTAACGTATCATATTTATTCATTGCTAACGAATTGCCAGGAAGCTTTGTGAAGCTTGTGGTAATTAGACGGACCCGTTGAAATGTGTTTGTGAACAACGGAAATGCAGATTGATGCTATTAAATGAGGGAAAACAAGGTGGGGGGGGGGGGGGGGATGAAGTGCAGTAAATTGTTGCTCGGTTCAGGGGAGGAGCCGACCAGCTGACATTGGTCAAGAACTACACCGGTCATCACTACCACCACTACCGCTATGCTGCTGCTGCTCCTGCTGTTCCCTTGTTGTTTGCTGCTGCTCCTGCTGTTGTTGCTTTTTCCTTGTTGCTTGCTGCTGCTGTTGTGCCTTGTTGCTTGCTGCTGCTGTTGTGCCTTGTTGCTTGCTGCTGCTGTTGTGCCTTGTGGCTTGCTGCTTGCTGCTGCTGTTGTGCCTTGTTGCTTGCTGCTGCTGTTGTGCCTTGTTGCTTGCTGCTGCTGTTGTGCCTTGTTGCTTGCTGCTTGCTGCTGCTGTTGTGCCTTGTTGATTGCTGCTGCTGTTGTGCCTTGTTGATTGCTGCTGTTGTTGCTGCCCTGTTGCTTACTGCTGCTTCCCCGTTGCTTACTGCTGCTGCCCCGTTGCTTACTGCTGCTGCCCCGTTGCTTACTGCTTGATGCTGCTGCCACCGTCTTGTTGCTTGCTGTTGCTGCCTTTTCCTTGCTACTACTGCTGTTGCTGCCTTTTCCTTGCTACTACTGCTACTGCCTCTTCCTTGCTGCTGCTGTTGCTGTGTCTTCCTTGCTGCTACTGTTGCTGCCTCTTCCTTGCTACTGTTGCTGCCTCTTCCTTGCTACTACTGCTGCTGCCTCTTCCTTGCTACTGCTGCTGTTGCTGCCTCTTCCTTGCTACTACTGCTACTGCCTCTTCCTTGCTGCTGCTGTGTCTTCCTTGCTACTACTGTTGCTGCCTCTTCCAAGCTGCTGCTGTTGCTGCCTCTTCCATGCTGCTACTGTTGCTGCCTCTCCATGCTGCTACTGTTGCTGCCTCTTCCTTGACCCTACTGCTGCTACTGTTGCTGCCTCTTCCTTGCTACTACTGCTGCTACTGTTGCTGCCTCTTCCTTGCTACTACTGCTACTGTTGCTGCCTTTTCCTTGCTACTACTACTGCTGCTACTGTTGCTGCCTCTTCCTTGCTACTGCTGCTACTGTTGCTGCCTCTTCCTTGCTACTACTGCTACTGTTGCTGCCTTTTCTTTGCTACTACAACTGCTGCTGCTGTTGCTGCCTCTTCCTTGCTACTGCTGCTGTTGCTGCCTCTTCCTTGCTACTACTGCTACTGCTGTTGCTGTTGCTGCCTCTTCCTTGCTACTGCTGCTGTTGCTGCCTCTTCCTTGCTACTGCTGCTGTTGCTGCCTCTTCCTTGCTACTGCTGCTGTTGCTGCCTCTTCCTTGCTACTGCTGCTGCTGCTGTTGCTGTTGCTGCCTCTTCCTTGCTACTACTGTTGCTGCCTCTTCCTTGTTACTGCTGCTGCTGTTGCTGCCTCTTCCTTGCTACTACTGTTGCTGCTGCTGTTGCTGCCTCTTCCTTGCTACTACTACTACTGCTGCTGCTGTTGCTGCCTCTTCCTTGCTACTACTACTACTGCTGGTGCTGTTGCTGCCTCTTCCTTGCTGCTGTTGCTGCCTCTTCTTGTTACTGCTGCTGCTGCTGTTGCTACTACTGCTACTGCTGCTACTGTTGCTGCCTTTTCTTTGCTACTACTGTTGCTGCCTCTTCCTTGCTACTACTGCTGCTGCTGCTGCCTCTTGCTGCTACTACTACTGCTGCTGTTGCTGCCTCTTCCTTGCTACTACTACTACTGCTGCCTCTTGCCTGCTGCCACTACTGCTTGTCACTGCCTCTTGCCTGATGTCACCACTAGCTACTTACTGCCTAAGGTCTGCTGCTGCTGCCTCGTGTTGTGTAACAGTTGTGCCGACTCCACATGTGACATATTGCATTCAGTGAAATGATTTACCTAAATATATGTAGTGGCCTCTATGGGGACAGTAACCAGGAGGCTTATTAAAAAAATTCCCCCCCCCCCTCTTTGTTTCTATAAAGTTAGCTTTAGTCTTCATCTGTGGTTATAGCTAGAATTTGTACTTACTGTGAGAGGCCATAATAATTCTTCTTTGGTTGATAGGTCTTGAGGACAACACTAAATCAACATGTAGTAGTAGTTTTTGCAAATTATAGACCGTTTATTTCAGCGATATGAATTTTTATATTTTTGTCGGGTTGATCATAGCAACTTGTTGGTAAATTGTTGGTAAACATCTTGGGCAACACAGATGCCTGTACTTGCCATCTAATATATCCTTCATACGCCTTTTTCATACACTGACTTCGAGATGAGCAATGCAATAGTTTGAAAATTGCTATGACACAGCTGTTGCCATCTCTAGTACAGCTTATTATCACCACTGTTTCTCGCACCATTGGCACCACAATGGCTCCGATTGTGTCAATAAATTGCTTCGCATATTTCCTTCAAATAAATTCTAGACATGTAATGATTTATCAAAAAAAAATGATGGCATTTGACACATTCTAAAGGTGTATAGTTGATTTCGTGTTGATTTCCTATACTGTAGTTTGATTTCCTATAGTTGATTTCCTATACGCCTATACTAAAGGCGTATAGTTGGTGTATAGTTAAAGTATGTAATAAATAATTATTTGCTTTTCAGATGTGTGGGGAAGCTTCTACTTGCCCTTCCTGTACTCTCTCATCTCGTGTCTGGGTGTCCTCATGCTCCTCCGTAAGTACCAGCGTGTTCCTCTACTTCTGGGCTCGTACTGTTGTTTACCATGCTTTAATGTGGTTAAGTATGTGTTTTGCATATAGACAAATGATTCACATTTACCGTTGTTAGAATTTGGAGTAATATTAGCAACATTTTTAATGAATTTTTGCTGTATGAAGAATTTTCTTACGTGTTCAGTATTATGGTGTGTGTTTGTATACTTATTCCTGTACAATTGATATTTTTTTGTATACAATTTGAATATTCTGTATTCAGTCAGTTTTATTACTAAAAAAAGTCTGCCACCAAATTTAATAGCTGGAAAAATCAGAGCAAATAAACAATTAAGCAATAAACATAGTAATTGGAGTTTCTATGACTGGTGATCAATTAAAAATTGACTGATGTACAGTTTTCCCGACTGCACAAGGGATGGCTGACTGTGGGTATCGGGCCTGTTCCGTCACTTGTACTCTATCAGTGTTTAAGCACGTACAGTACTCAAACAGGCCAGGTTTGATTCTCCAAGGGGGTTATTTGATGAATGTTGTTGATTGAGCACTTGTTCCTTCACTCTGCATATATATCCCAGCTCCTTGTCCTCATGTCCCCTTAAAAGTGCTGTATGGTCATAATGGCTTAGTGCTTTCTCCTGATAATTATTTTACCTTTGTAAATTTTGCATATATAATACATGGGGACCACCTGAGCTTTGAATTACACATTGCAGTGTGTACACCTGTTGGGCTTGCCCACTTGTTTACTGCCATGGGGCGACTGATGGTAAAACCCGGATTTCTACGAGACTTGGCTGAGGAGTACCAGGCTGCACTGCTCGAGGAAGATGCTCTGGCTCGGCAGTTGGCACGTCCCTCCCGACCTCATGCGAGGCCTATCACACGCTCCATCTGTAATGCTCTCACTCCTGAGGAACTTCTTCATCAATATCATGCTGTCAAGAAAACCAGAATGAAGCTAGGTAGGTTAATATTGTGCACCTAAATGAAGATTTACCAGTGTTGAATATTTGTTCCTTTTATCATGAAGAACAGGTCCTGTCTGAAGGCTGGGTAGTACGTGTTGTTTATATATTATTAGAGTCACAGTGTAATGTGAAATGTGTATAATGAGTAGAAACTCTCATGTGATTAACATCTTGGCAAATTCTTTACACATATTGCAACAGCTAATTCTAAATTTAACCCACAACATAATGGCCATTCTATTGGCATGGTATCATGGAGACATTAATCTTCGAGAGGAGATTCATGATGTGCAGGCCTACTGTAAAACCTCTTAATTTTTAAGATCCTTTCACAGCGCTAGTATGGAAAATTACTAAACTGACATAAGTAAACAAACATAGGTTGGAATCACTTATTTGGACTTACGTACTCTGGAACCAGATTGTGAGCCAATTCATAGATTATATTTTATGGAAATCTATATATTTAGAGAAAAACAAAGACATATAAGAATTGACTGTAATGTTTCCAATACCGATTCTGATAGATACTGCAAAAATATGCCAGTATCACCAATACATCAGTATTCCTCTAAATAGTACAAGAATGTTTTAATATTGGGGTGACTGTTAGATTGTTAGACTAGACGAGACTGCTGTGTCTGGGTATTTATGGTTTTATTCTTTGTGTATTGCAAACATACTCTTGAACACCAAAAACCCAGTACTATATACTGTATATTATTTGATAATCTGTTGCAAGATACTTTGTGAGGATATTTGCTATTGAAAGGATCATGTATTTCAAAAGCTGCTATTGAAAGGATCATGAATTTCCAAAGCTGCTATTGAAAGATCATGTATTGTACAGTATTTCAAAAGCTGCTACTGTACTGTACAAAATACTACATTGATACTATATGACCTTTGCAGACGAGCGTCGTCGTGCGGGAATATTTCAGCGCACTTTAGCGTATCCGCTTGCACTGCTATTGCTGCTGGCACTCACTGGTACAGCAGTTGTCATAGTGGGCCTCAACACTTTGCAGTTACTTGTTGGCATTAAGGCCCTCCCTCTGGCATCAGCCCCAGCCATTCTGGGAGAAGCTCAGCAAGGAAAGGTAAGACCCGGGCTTAATTTTTAGTTAAACTTGGTTTTAGACCAGGGGTTCGTAACTTTTTTATGGCCCACACCTGTACAAAATGTTCGATATATGCTTGCACCCCTTACAAAAGTAATATCACATTTGAAGAGGCAGAAGTAAAAATTATAGTTTTGATTAATATAGGAATAATTTTTGGTGAATCATGATTCAGCCTTCCTCTTTGCTGCACACCCCTGAAATGCCATCTTGTAACCCAGGTTGGGAACGCCTGTTTTAGGCCAAAGCCAAATACTGGGGCAGGGAAACATTTAGCACTAATGTGTGAAACTTATGTCAAGTTTGTATATTGCTACTGTGTTTTTTGTGTCACATTTTAAGTTATTTTCAATAGTGTATGTGTAGGGTGTGGGTGAGGGTGCACCATAGTTATATGATACATCATCAAATTGAGCACAAATTACTGAGGGGCATGCATGTTTCTAACACTCATGTGGCAGATTACGTTCAAAAGATGGCTTTTTAACAGGAGTGGGGGTGAATACTTATTTATTGACAATGCTTTCATATCCATCCACTTGGACTGGTTGGTAAAGTGATGGACTCAATTCTTGCAGGGTCAGCATTCAATTTCCAGTAGTCCAATTATCCATGCAATGTTCCTGGAATTTGTCCTATCCCAGCTGCAATCATGTTCATGTATTACTTTCGTATATCTATAGTCATGCTTACTGGCCTAGTACTTTTTCCTGATGATTACCTTTCCTTACTTTCATAACAATTCATTCATATTATATAGTGTTCACTGAGTTAAGGTACAGGAAATATATTTTGCATAAATATAGTTATTAATTGGTATATAGTATTCGATATTGTTAAATAGTTTTAAGAACAAGTGCTTTTCGGCTCGTTATCCTGGGCTTTGTAACTTTTTGGTTACATTCTAACTAACCTATCTATTAGTCCATTGGTCCTGTCGATTGGAAAATACCCGTTAATTCAAAATTCATATTCAAATGTTTATTCAGGTAAAGTATATACATACAAGGGGTGATACAAATATTGATAAATTTATAGATAGAGCTAGTACATACAATGCCTAAAACCACTATTACGCAAAGCGTTTCGGGCAGTTTCGTTAGTTTGTGAGCATATACGTTATAATTATTGAATAACTTTCGAGACTTTCGAAGGATGATCTTGCTGTTTATTCCAGCCCATCCTCCTGTTTAGTTAGTACCGTTCTTATAGTAACGATGATGACCATAGTACTTATATGACATAATGGACTATAAGGAGGCAGTAATTGTTACTATTGAATTTGGACAAATTGAAAAAGATAAGTTTGTTGCAAAGACATTATCTAACCTAACCTTTCTAGGCCTAATACATGCTGTCTGAGGCCTAATATAGTACATAAATGAGCTATACTAGGCCTAGGAATATTTAAGTTTGGTTTTTAGCTTTATTTTTTCGGACTATAAAGTGAATACAGTAGTACCATATTCTATCTAATTGCCTTTTTACATCAATGTTTGTACTGTGGTGCACATAGTTATAGAAAGTACTGTCTAAACAGGAGGTTGGGTTGCTTATTCATAGAGCAGCTTTGTGAATGTAATTCAATAGGACTGGTCACACACTGTAAAATAACTTTGGGCATAGCTTATTTTGCTTTGTAATGTAACCCAGAAATTACACAATTCCATTAAACTTGGTGTAAATAAATATAAATAAATAAATATATATATATATATATATATATATATATATATATATATATATATATATATATATATATATATATATATATATATATATATATATATATATATATATATATGTCGTACCTAGTAGCCAGAACTCACTTCTCAGCCTACTATTCAAGGCCCGATTTGCCTAATAAGCCAAGTTTTCCTGAATTAATATATTTACTATAATTTTTTTCTTATGAAATGATAAAGCTACCCTTTTCACTATGTATGAGGTCAATTTTTTTTTATTGGAGTTAAAATTAACGTAGATATATGACCGAACCTAACCAACCCTACCTAACCTAACCTAACCTATATATATAGGTAAGGTTAGGTTAGGTAGCCAAAAAAAGCTAGGTTAGGTTAGGTTAGGTAGGTTAGGTAGACGAAAAAACATTAATTCATGAAAACTTGGCTTATTAGGCAAATCGGGCCTTGCATAGTAGGCTGAGAAGTGAGTTCTGGCTACTAAGTACGACATATATATATATATATATATATATATATATATATATATGTCGTACCTAGTAGCCAGAACTCACTTCTCAGCCTACTATGCAAGGCCCGATTTGCCTAATAAGCCAAGTTTTCATGAATTAATTGTTTTTCGATTACCTAACCTACCTAACCTAACCTAACCTAACTTTTTCGGCTACCTAACCAAACCTAACGTATAGAGATAGGTTAGGTTAGGTTAGGTAGGGTTGGTTAGGTTCGGTCATATAGCTACGTTAATTTTAACTCCAATAAAAAAATATTGACCTCATACATAATGAAATGGGTAGCTTTATCATTTCATAAGAAAAAAATTTAAGAAAATACTGTATACTAATTCAGGAAAAGTAGGCTTATTAGGCAAATCGGGCCTTGCATAGTAGGCTGAGAAGTACGTTCTGGCTATTAGGTACGACATATATATATATATATATATATATATATATATATATATATATATATATATATATATATATATATATATATATGTATATATATGTATATATGTGTGTGTGTGTGTGTGTAAATCACGAAAATAAACACGTGATTAAGAATGTGACATTGTCAGACCACGAAGGAAAAATGAAACAGGAAATTTCCTTAAGTACTTTCGTATATTAAATACATCTTCAGAAGGTCAACCTTCTGAAGATGTATTTAATATACGAAAGTACTTAAGGAAATTTCCTGTTTCATTTTTCCTTCGTGGTCTGACAATGTCATATATATATATATATATATATATATATATATATATATATATATATATATATATATATATATATATATATATATATATATATATATATATATATATATATATATATATATATATATATATATATATATATATATATATATATATATATATATATATATATATATATATATATATATATATATATATATATATATATATATATATATATATATATATATATATATATATATATATATATATATATATATATATATATATATATATATATATATATATATATATATATATATATATATATATATATATATATATATAAATAATAATAATTTTTTTTTTTTAATAATCTTACGTAACTTGTTTGAATGAAGTACACAGTATTAAGTAGGGGAGTTCTTTATTTAATTAGCGTGAAATTCTCTGTGAAAACATTGGCATTAAGTTCTTACCTTGGATTAGCCAGAGACATTCTTGAAAAGTGTCTTGTCTAGTTGTGTGGATGAGCTTCCAGACAGTTCATTATTCTTAACAGTATTCTTAACAAATCCTCGCCACGGCCCTTGTGGATTTGTTCAGTTCATTATATTGTTATGTATGGGTATGGGTATACTCCTGTTATGGACATGGGGTGCATATTTGATGTGGTCACTCATTTATTTACTGGATAGATCCATAGGTGCCTAACCTGACTGATGCCATACATCATTCACAGAGCCCCACACCATTGGATACAAATTTTACCTTTTGAAATGAATGGGAATCTATTGATGAATGGTACTCTAATGCTTTCTTAAGAACACAAGAAAGGATTAAACTGCACATTGGCTGTTGGCCTATGTAATGCTGCTCCTATTTATTGTTTTATTTGTTTACATTTTTTCTAGATAATTAAGTTTATTACTCACCGAGATGTGATATAGGCAAACGTTTCTCAAGCTTATTGAACCTAACAGTTATTTGATAAAGAATTGTGCTTTTCTGTTGATGTAACATTTAAACACAGCTTATAGACTATATGAATGTTTAGGAGTATTAGTACTACTAACAGCAATGTGGACGGGTTTACTTATCTATCACACACAGGTTTCCAACATGCTAAATATACGCAACATTATCATTATCCCAATTCCCACTTTCATGGGACTGAAGAGCCCGAAGTTTTTAGTATGATGACAGTGTTACAGAAAAAAACAAAATTTTGAGAGTAGATTTTATTTGTAGAGAATGTTTTGCCTGTAATAAGATCTACTTTCAAGTTGATGTTTCTCCACAAAGAGTACAAATGTACTTGTAGCAAGGATATCCAGAGTAGCTGTAAGGTATTATTTTTAATTTATGCTTGATACTGTTGGTTGGTCTCTTGGTCTTATTAGTGACATTATGCTGTGGCCGTAGTGTGGGCAAGATAATCACATGTATCCCAAGGTAGCTTCACTTGACATACAGTGTCTCAAAACCATCTTAGTGGTACTGTATGTGGAAAGTTCTTGCAAAATCGTATTATAAAAATATATATTTTTATTGCATATATGTTTGGTAATGTGCATTATATGTTTTACAGCGGTCAGTACTATTGTCAGTGCTGGGGCCTGTCGGTGCTGTGTTAGAGGTTGTGCTCATCTTGTACCTGATTGCTGCATCCCTGCTGGGTTGCTACTCCTTGCCTGGCATAGCCAAGATCCGACCCCGGCCACAGGACACGCCCATGGTTCACGTCATTGCCAACTGCGTCGTTGTGCTAATTCTTTCCAGTGCTTTGCCTCTCCTGGCTAGGACGCTAGGTGAGTAAATGTTGCTGGAATGTGTACAATGTAGACCCATTTACAATATAGACCCATTTGTTTGTTATTGGAAGTTGAATGGTATTGTGATAATGTACAACTTCTATAATACAGGTACTTTTATGTATGGTGTATGAATACTAGTGATAACATTAGGCTTTCAAAAAGCGATGAATAAAATAATTAATTGATGCGTTTATTCACAGGAATATAAGATTATAATTTTTTCGTTGACATATTCTAGGGGCTTCTATTATTTCTTTTCCATTCTCACCCTGTTTCCATGCTTGTAAGATAGAGAGGCTACAGCTAGAAAATTTGTTCATACAGAGGTGGCAAAAGTGGGCTAATGATGTATACGTAACGTCCTACTTTTCATGCCACTTTTTCTATTCATTTCCATTGCAGGAAAGTAGTGCACTGCCACACTCTTGGAAAAACATATATATAGCAGTATTTCAGTCATTTGATATATTACATGTCTAATACATTTCCTCGTGAATTGTCACTGAAGTTAATTGTCATGTATTGCTTCCATCATAAGACTGTTTACACTCAGACCTTGGGTCTGTTGACCAGACCACACACTAGAAGGTGAAGGGACTATGACGTTTCGGTCCGTCCTGGACCATTCTCAAGTCGATTGTGAATGGTCCAGGATGGACCGAAACGTCGTCGTCCCTTCACCTTCTAGTGTGTGGTCTGGTCAACATAATTTAGCCACGTTATTGTGACTCATCGCCTGCACCTTGGGTCTTGTTCTCTTGCAGAGTATTTTTTCCCATATAGTCACCATGTCTATGCAATACCAACAAACTTTGAGAGTTGTTAGCATGCCACAAATATTTTTAATGTGGCTCCATATTAGAACATGACACACGTTCCTCCAAGCATCTATCTCTATTAATAGTTGTGTATGAGTTATGCCTTATGCCAGGGGAATAGTAAAGAATGTTAGATAAATAAATGAAACACTAGTTTGTTGAATTAAAATAAGCAGAATTTTCAAACATTTGGTGACCACATTAGTGGATACCTAAGTGTAGTCAGAGTAGACAGAAGATTCAAGCAGGTTTTTTGCTCTGAGGGAAAACAAGAGCCTTCATAAGGGAGCAACAGTGTAAGCAGCTCAGAAAGGGTTATTTTGTTACACTTTATGTTTTATATGTGCACAATTATTGTAAATTTTTTGTATACAGGTGTCAACAGTTGCAGATGATGTGATTCTTGTTCTTAGACTAAGAGTGTACCTTTTCTATAGCTCATGTAAACTGTACTACTTTTCCCTAGAATATAGTTCACTATTTAGTTTTAAATCGGGTCCCCAATTACTGCTGGATTAACGTGGGCAAACGGTAAGTTTCGGTGCCCAGTCGACTGTGTGCAGCACTTGAATCTGAACGACATCACTTGTGAAGCACGGGGCAAGTGTCCTACAAAATGACCTTATGTGTTTCTTTCAATAATTGATTTACCTTCTTGTTTTTACCTTACCTTCTTGATTTACCTTCTTGATTTTCTTGTTTAAACTACAATTCTACATCATCAAAAATCTTAGTTACATACATTATGAGGCAGCAACAGGGCCAGGTATCCTAATATAGAATGGTTGGGTGGTAAATGTACATTAGGAAACAAAGTATTATTATTAAAGAAAGTATTCTTTCATTATTTTTCTTGTATAGTTCACCGATTATCATTTTGTGTTCATTCTTTCCATGTTTATAATACAACTCGCTGATGTCATTTCACAACTGTCACGTTCGGTGCTTTCAGCTCTTATATTACCGTATCAGTTTGTTTCATCAGCAAACTGTACATTTTCCTCTGAATGTGATTTAATCAATTTTCTTTCTCCTTCCAGGAATCACAAATTTTGACTTGCTGGGAGATTTTGGTAAGATCAGTTGGTTGGGCAACTTCTGGATTGTGTTGGGCTACAACATCCTATTTGCTACAGCGGCCGCATGGTGTCTGGTGAAAAAGTTTACTGCAACTATTAGACATGAAATATACATGAGGTGAGCAATGCTCATTAACATCAATTTATGATTTGTTGTGTTTGCTGTTGATTCCAGGGATTATCACTCTTGCTACCCCCAGTCTAGTCGGATACAGATATAGAATTCACTTTCTTCATATACAAGGCAACCTTGATTTGGCGAACCTCTGTTTGGGAAATCTCTGGTTGCAACCCCTCCTTCCAGGCTTGATTTATTTGGCTGCATTGTCGAACAAGTGTTAGGAGATTCAGTGAAGCAGGGATGCAGGGATGCACGGATTGGCTAAAGAAGCAAGGCCAGAGCCCACACACCTCTGGGAAAGTTTCCTTTCGTATGATAGGTTGACATGAAACTTTCCCTCGGTGAAAGTAGCGTGTAGAAAATATTAGGGTATGTAGGGTCAAGAAGCGAAAAATATTCTAATTGTGTAAAAATTACTTAAAAATGTTAAACAAATCTTCAACTTATTGACTTCAGGATTTTGAAACTTTCATCAAAATATTTTTAGAAATTGATTTTATATGAATTTTTTAAAAAGAAGAATGTTTTGTTGATTAGGAGAACAGCTCCTATTAACTGGAACTGAGGGATAATGCAGTAATAAAGAGATGCAAGCACCTGTCCGATGCTCAAAGAAGAAGAATAGTAGTAAGAAGTGTCCACAAAGTGGATATACAGCTGGTGCCTTTATGGCATTGCTGAATAATATATAACAACACTAATAATAATGAATAAGTATGTTATTGTGCTCTATTTTGTTATATATCATATAAATACATTGCCCAATGTTAATATCTGTTACTTTCATCAATGTCCAATTTTTTTTTTGGGGGGGGAGGGGAAGGGGGGACATTTTAAAATGTTACAAACATATTTTTTTAAGTTTTTAGTTTTTTACATTGTTTTTTATCTGATTTTGTTGTAACGTTTACATCCTGGAGAGTGCCTACCCATCTCTAACTATGTGAGGATGGAATTAAGTTGGTCAACAAATAAATCAGTCACAACTAGTAGAACTTGAGACTTTGAATTTTTTTGGCTGATTTTTTCAGAGATTTCAAACTCTCTTTTCTTTCTCTCTTTAGGTTGTTTTGATGATTAGGAGGGACCAAATTAGGGCTTTTTCACATATGTAAAGTATACCCTAAATATATTCCCTAAATCATTATAATTATCCCTATTTTTTTGTTGGAGGGGGGTATTTTTTCTTGACTTCATTTTGACACATATTCACCTACAACTTTCACATATTGGAGTACGAATGCCCAACAATGTTTATTCAAACATTCAAGTAAATTAACGAATTCGAACTACCTTTATTCATTGTCGATAACTTCATGTACATCTCTAAAACTAGAGTTTCAACTTTGAGTGGCTTCTAAATTTCCAGTGAGCATAATAACACCAAATGAAATATTGGGGATGGTTTATATTTTTTAATCTAATTTGAAAATCTGAAGTTTTCAGTATTAAATTTTAAAATTAGTTTTGATTTTCTTATTTTACAAGTTATGTTGGTGATCAAGTGACAAAGTTGGAGCATTTGCCGAATTGATTACGGACAAAAAATTGAAAAATGTTTGTGCATGTTTTAAAAACAAATGTTATATCCAATCGTATATGTATGTTTTGAGCCGTTTAAGGATTAAAGTCTTGTTTTCAGCTGTATATGTTTGTGGTGAGTGAGGCCTTGTTGGTGGTCTGTATGTAATGTGTTCTCAACTTTCATATGAAGCTCTTCATTTGATTAGTAGATAGAGATAATTTTGTTTTCAAAAATTTCTTCAAATGGAAAACAAAAAAAACCAATGTATCGAATTTATGTGTGTAAATATAAGATATTTCTATATTCTTACAGGTTTAAGTTGCTTGCCATGTGGCTTGTGAAGCGGGACACCTTCAAGCTGCCAGCGCATGTGATGAATGGAAGCATGATGAACCCTGGCAATATGAAGGAGGAGTAATTCAAATAGTGAATGGGTTATGACGACCCTACTGGAGTGATCTTGACCTGCGTGGCTGAAATACAATGTTGTATGTATGTAATATTATATATACAATGTGTGTGTGCACGTTGAGCTTCTTGAAGAGTATCTTGCAGTGAACTATTTCCCTGTCGGGCCAAACCTGGGGAAGCGAGTGGTGACGGAGCCCCTCCTCCAGTGCCGACTAGAAGCGTGTTGATGTGCGTTTCATAATTGCAGTACTTAAGGATTTAATCATTAGGCATAAGTTCAGATAAGGTGAGAGAGAAAGGGGGTATTCCAGAATAAGAAAAAAATACACTAGTGCAAGGTTCTGCAATTAAGTGGGAAAACTATAATTGAATGTTAAGAAGTAAATAGAATTTGGCACATTTTTTCTAAATCATCATGTAAATACTGGGGCGAGTCAAATGGGTAAGAAACAAGTACAGTGTCTCAATAAATATTTATATGTTTAACTATTATAATACAATACATATTATATTAGTAATATATTACAATATATTATTGTGTACTATACTGTAGTTGCACGTTATAACTTTTCCCGGACGCAACATTTGTGTACCAAATGTCTCATCCATTTCCCAGCCTTCAGATTAAAACCATTAGCAGCACTCAAACATATTTGGAAATTGAAAATGATATATAAATTGTAGTCAGGTGAGAATATTATTCAGGTATAAAAATTGCATGTAAAAGATGTTCGGTGGAAAAGGGGAGACAGAGAACCTTTTGTATTGTATTATTTTAATAAGTTGTGCAGAAAGTGGATGACCTGAGGGAGCCTCTTTGGTGGGATCCTATTTGGTGGGATCCTATTTAGTGGGATCCTATTTAGTGGGATTCTATTTAGTGGTTCTGATCCGAGATTGTGGCATACTATACTAAAATGTAGTAATGTGGAATATTGGCCAATGTTTTAATGTCAATGTAGTAGAGAGCTGGATGTAAAAATTTCTTTGGAAGTTGACAGAGCCAAACGGAGGTTTGTTATTACAGCTGAACAAGATACTATACATAACAGCTTTGGCAGAGCCCTTTCCTAATCATGAAAATCTAGGGCTGTTGTATATTTGGCTCCAGGCTTCTGTACTTGGACAAAGAGTTAAATGTGTCAAATATATCCTGAATTAAAATTAAGTAATTTTAGTGAGAAGTTTTGTGTCAACCATAATTTTTAATATTCTTTTCATAGTTGATGCGTTATAATTTATTTTTCACGTTGGTCCCTATTGTGCTTATCTATTTAATAATTGAGTTAAATTATTCCTTGCTTAATTAGGAAGAATTTGATTATGTTGTAATTAACATTTTGATTTGTGTATCAGTAGTATGTTGTGAATGTGATTGTATGGTCCAGTTGTAGAGGAACATCAGGGTTGAGCTTCACACCAAAGTAACGTACATTTGAAATGAGCTTTATTTAAAGTTTCAGAAGGTGAAGTGAGTGAAATAATGGCAGTGTAATTTTTTTTTTTTTTACCGACATGTCACTTTTGTGAGCGTTTTGTAAACACGGCCTGGTGACTCGTGTGTCTGTGTGTATCATGCTACAGCTGTGTGTTGAATATCAATCTTGGGAAGCCAGTTCATCTAAAATTGTGATCAGCTCCTTATATGTGAACAGTTCCCATTGAAATATATGAAATTTACTCTTAAATTCCATGATTATGTCTTGAATTTGAGAAGATACATCAAACTCAAAATTTGTGTTATTAAGTTTTAATATTTATGTAATGTTTTCACATGAATTTTGAATCCTGAAATAGATAATCACCCTTCATATTTTTTCATTAACGGTTTCATCAGCAGTGAGTATTACAAAGAAAGCTCACTACACCTATGAAAAGGTCACATGAAGCATCACATTGTAATTTGTTAATGAGTTACATGCATAGTTATGCTTTGAAGAGTTTGTTGTAATTTTATAGCGACTTCATTATGGTCCCCGATACCTGTTGTGTGGGTGATATTAGAGGGGGGTTTCTAGGCAAATAAAGGCTCCTTGAGCAGAATCCAAGAAATTTCATGGTGAAATAACTGGACAGTAATGGATACACATTTAAAAAAATTGTAGCAGAATGAATACATTTTTTGTTTTTTTAGATATGGTGAGAAAGATTGTACAATACTCATAAGCAGCATCACAAATGTTTTTAGTTTTCAATTTCACTTCAGTGGGTTTGAAATTAATTTTATATTGTAGGCTTTTAGCATGACACAAGTTATCGACAGTTATGTGGAGCCTTAGTGTGGGAATATCTTTTGACTAGTTAAAAGTTGTGCTTTTATTCATGGAAAAAATATATTTCAACATACAAAATATAGAAATTCTTCAGTAAAAGAGAAATTATGTTGTAATATTTAGGTTTCAAAAATGGTATACGTATTTATGGAGACTGGAATTTGAATGTACTACGTTGACTAGACCACACACTAGAAGGTGAAGGGACAATGCCGTTTTGGTCCGTCCTGGACCATTCTCAAGTTCAGACTTGAGAAAGGTCCAGGACAGACCGAAACGTCATCATCCCTTCACCTTCTAGTATGTGTGGTCTGGTCAACATACTTCAGCCACGTTATTGTGACTCATCGCCTGCACTTGAATGTACTACGGTTTGAGAAAACTGCTGATGGACCGGGAGCGTTCACATATATACCTGCTGTATACACTGTACACCCGTATCAGCCTTCCCTGACTTTGCGCTCTGGAGAGGCCACTCCAGACCAACATCCAGAGCGCAACTCCAAAGTCTCCTGAGACTGATGGATGCCTACTACTACTACTACAACAACACTAGAATATATTATAGTAGTGTAATCTTTATTCCCTGAATGCCCTTGTGTATGTTGGATGCTTGACCCATTGGAGGGCCAGATGATCTGTTTTCCATATGTTATCACTTGCAACCAAAGACTTCTGTATAAAAAAGAAAAATAGCAAAAATTGTAGCAGTAGATCTCCCTCATTTTTCTTGTCTTAAGCACATTGTTATATGATGCTTCTTATATTTGCTCAAATATATAGGGATCTTGTGACCCTTGTTATGCATGACTGGCATCTAGGTGAAATGTTATGGTGTTTTTCACTGGTGAAAGTATATTTTTTCATTTTTCTTTTTATCATATATATGTATATATATAATTTCATGTTATAACAAAAGAAGATAAATTGAATGAAGGCTTTTTAATCACACTCTTGTATTTTTTTTATTTTTGTTTGGTATGCAATATTTATGTGTTTTAGTTGTACATGTATTGCTATCAACAATAGCAAATAATGGTTATTTTCAGGTAATCTTTTAGGAAATGATAAAACAACAGGATATCTTGCTGGGAGTCTTGATACTTATTATTTTCTGTATTGGATCTTTCAGTCATATTTGTGGAAACTGATTTGATAATCCGTAAGTTGAGAGTTTTTATTGTCAACCGTCATACCTAAGTGATCGTGTTGGCGGCCATGTGACTTGCGAAGATTTTTGTGTACACTTCGGCCACACATATACAGCGTAAAATAGCTCTCTTTTATTTTTACTGCATAAACATTATATATATTGGGACAGTACGTATAGATTTCTGCGGTTAATTATTTATGGCACAACTGGTATGATGTGCGTGCAGCTGGTAGACAATGAGATGCCACTTTTTTTTATACTAACTTGTCCTTGGTGTGTTTGTCTGAAGCAGTGGCTATTTGATTGTGGTACAGATTATGATGATTTTTTTAGCAAGACCTTCAACACACTTCTTTTGTGAGAGATGAAGTGCATCATCACTTCTTTACGAGATAATGAAATGAATCAACTGTTCTGCACGAGTGGTTGATGAGGAAGGTTGAAGTACTGTTCTGCATGAGTAGTTGATGAGGAAGGTTGAAGTACTTGGCCTGGCAAATGGCAATCTAAATAGGATTTTTATGTGGTTGATGAGTTGGAAGCAAAGCTAGCATAATATAGAGTAAACAATAGTGGGGAAACGTACATAAGCAGAGGGGGCTTGGAGTTCTTGTGTATTTACTGTTTTAATGTGTATAAACAATCTTGTTTTAGGTTTAAACACATACCATAGACAAAATTCTAGAAATACAAAAATATGGCACATTATAAATTGGTAAGAGAAGTATTAGAGGTGTTTAATAGATTTGAGATGTTGGCAAATATAAGGTAGTATAAACAAGTGTTAATTTGTGGTTGTGGAGAAAGAAAATGTGTGATATCGGCTCAGCTGTGACGGTATTAATCAAAATAGGAATGCAGTTGAGATGTTACAGTTTTATGTTGTTTTTGTGAGACCACATTTAAATTACAATATTCTGTGCAATTTTGGCCATGACAATATACTATACAGTGAACATGAATTATTTGGAAAATTTTCTGAAGATGATAAAATTAATTCCCCATCATTTGGGAATTTTCCTGTTGAAGCACTTGAGAGCTCCTGTTAAGAGCACTTGAGATTTTGCTCTCAAGATATATGTATTTTATATGTGAACAGATGAATGTGTCAGAAGTTATTGGAACTTGCAACAATGGAGTGAGTGGTCAAATTTAGATTTAGTGAGGATATAGGTAAGAATTGGTTGTGCAGTTGAGATGTGTGTGTGAGGAACAATCTATTAAGAATCAGTGTATAGATACATGAGTGAATAGGGTTAGATTGAATGAAAACCGACATTGCATTAGGCCTATGGCAGCGTATTCAAATGTAAAATTAGTACTAGTATATCTCTTGAGTACTGTTACTTGTAAACAGTTGTTCATCATACTGTATTAGATATGTATTTGGCTTAAAGTTACCAACAACTAAGATTTGTACTTTGACTTTTACTTGGAGTCCTTTCATTCCTTGTGTCTCCTTGTTGGTCTGTCGTTGGTTGCATATATTTTTGGTCTCCTATGGACATCCCAATTTATATTAGACGTTTTGAATATAATACAGATGGCAGTAAATAGTCATCACCGCTTGTTACCTTCTTTTGGTAATGCCTTACAACTAAATTAATGAATAATTTATTAATTGTTGCAGATAAGACAATCGCAGATAGAAGTGGCTCATGGCAAAAAATATTATCCTGAGAAAAGATAAATGAAACCTGGCTTAGCAGGACTTTAGATAGCATTAATTCACCATTAATAGGATAGTATCAAGATTATCAGTGCACTGTACCTCTTGACAATCGTCAAAACCCAGGAATTGTCATGGCTTTTGTCACAAAAACAGATCTGGGCAACATTTTCGGGCAGTGACTGAACTAGACTCTTATCTGGAAAGCTGCAAGTTCGTTCTTGTTTGTTTGGGTTCAACATGTTCTGTGTTCAAGCAGGATTAATGATCTTATGTAAGGGATCAAATATTTTTGGACATGCAACATAACTATGGACATGACCATATTTAAACTGTCAACTAAATGTTCTGAGCACTGTTTGCACAAATTTGACATTGACAAAGCAGGCTGACAAGACAAGGAAAGTATCTCGTGTTTATGGAGTGGCGTTGGCATGAGGCTAGAGAAGACACGATAGTCGTATTGTTAACAAAAAGAAGGCTAAACATAATTAGGATCATCATGTGTCCCATCGCCATAGCTTAAACACTACACAGTATAATGGAGAACTCGTGTGTCGCTGCACTCGAGCAAATCATCCACAGCAGCAGCACCACATCCTCCTTCCAAAGACTGGGAGCTTATGTTCTTTGTTAGTTGTTTTATACAATTATTTATTTCATCCAGTCACAGAAACCAATATTTTATTGATTCTAATGCTGGACTGGAGGTTTCAAGGAATTAGTTTATTAGTTGTATACAAATGTCGCATTTATTCCCCATTGACAAACCAATGCCATCTAGCCATTTTGTGATGTTTTCATGCTGGATACCTGCTCCTTTATGTACCATATCTGGCAATCTTACCTTTTCTCTCCTTTTCCTACGCCCAACTACTTGGGCTGGACGATAGAGCGCGATGGTCTCGCTTCATGCAGGGCGGCGTTCAGTCCCTGACCAAGTGGTTGAGCACAATTCCTTCCCCTCTGTTCCATCCCAAATCCTTATCCTGACCCCTTTCAAGTGCTATATAGTCGTAATGGCTTGGCACTTTCTCCCTGATAACTCCCTCCCTCCCTTCCTATCCTTAAGTTTACTTTGTCTTGTTATTCATTGAACATGATCAAATCATCTCTGTGCACAATTGAATCTTAGTTTGCTAATATATTTGTTCCCCAGCTAACCATGAAATGTCTATTTATATTTATTTAAACAGCACACATGCTTCTCTGTTAAGAGAATGGAAAATTTAAGATTTATGACAGGTTTACAGCAAGCAGGGATGACCCAGCAGCATCTACGTACATTTTCCCTTCAAGTTGAATCATCGAAGTCAAACATCCCTAGCAGTAATGAAATAACATTTACTTGCTGTAAGTACTTGGGTTAAACCTCATTGGTTTCACCTGGGAATTGTACAGTGGACTGAAATAGAATGTCACACGTGGATGTTAAGCCAGGTGGTCATATTGGGCCACAGCGATCTTTGATGAAGCCAGCAAAGGTAAGCAACTGCTGATAACATCCTCTCACTTTAGTCCCACATTTCACAACTTAAATCAGAAGTAGTGTGTATGGTCAAGAAGAAGTTTATATAATGTAGGAAATAATAATCACAAGCACCTGGTATAGTGTAAGATTTAATTACCAAATCTATTATAATACATAAACCTTAAAGAAAATTTTGTACAAGAGCTGTCGGGTGATCATTTTTACTTAAGAGTTACAGATGTGAAAAATATTGTTATTTTATGGCTGTAATGGGAGAGGACCTATGTATGCCTATGATGGGAAAGGTGCTATAGAGCTGGTAAGAATACATTGAAATGGGAACCTTGCAGAGAGAGAGAGAGCTATAGAGTTGGAATATATAACTTGGGAGTTATACTTGAACAGAGAGAGAGAGAGTACTGATAAGCTCAGTAGAGATCATAGAAGGAGATAAATCTGTACAAGATGAATAGGCTAGCCATCTTAAGGGCAGAGGTGCTTTTACAATAATGATAGGAAACCAGCAGTGAAAGCTATAACGGTGACCTATAATATCAATTCGGGAGATATAAATTAGAACAGTTTTTGGAGCTATGAGTGAAATACAGCATCAACATTAGAAATATACTTGAGAAGTAAGAATCGGGGGATAAACATTAATTAGAAAAACACGTGAACGACGGACTAACAAGTGGTAGCAGTTACTTAATGGCGAGTATATTGATTTTGTACAATGTAGGCTTGATTTATTGTTATTTAAATATAACTGAATCCTTGATTTGGCAGAATGAATTTGGTACCATAATGACCCCTGTTGTATGAACTCGAGGGTGCATCAATTCTCTGAACTTGTCTGCATTAGGTATCCCTACACACAGTTTATGAATTGAATATTTGTCTGTGGTTGGCCCAGTAGTGTCAGCAACTCTGAGTATGACCCAACTATCATGTGGTGAGAGCTCTTGTTACTCAAGTTCTGTAGTTTCATAAATATTTGATTAATTTTGGATAGAAAATAGGCCTATTACCCGTAGTTAGGCTAAACTTTGTAGGGAGATGAGAAGGTATATTATCAAGACAGACGAATAAATATAACCGAGCTTCAGAAAGGTAAATAATGATTGTTTTTAACATTTCATTTGTGCTGTACTATACCATAAAGTAAACATGTACTGTATTATATATATTACTATACATATTTTATTACAGTATATATATACTTTATTATATTAATGAGAAAAATTCAACCAGTATCAAGAGCAAAGATGGAAATAATTGTCAATTGAAAGATGATTTCTATGCATGTTTATCTAACATGTATGACTCGGAATAATTTCAAAAGATTAAGAGTAAAATCTTAATTTAATTAATTTTAAGAATAAAATGTTGGTAAAAAGATTTAAGAAGTTGAGATTTAGGCATATTACACTTTCTTTCATTGGCTTATCTCCTCTTTGCCCCCCAATGTGCAGACTCTACCTTTGCTTTTATCGAGTCCAGTGTAGGGTTTGGGGTAGACACTAGTTTAGTGTCTCTTTTTACCTTATCTAGGTTTAGAAACAACATAATGTACTGTATATGGATGATAGACATGCATGAGCTTTAGATAAGAATGCAACATTTTTTTGACACACTTCAGCAGTCTTTGATTGTGTATACAGCCATACTGGTTTAGTGTTCTGTTCTGTAATTACTTACTTTTAGGTTCATGTCATGGACTGTTTTAGCATTCAGAGATCAAAGAATTGTTCATTCAGACAATATAGGACAGTTTCTTTCCACAATTGTGTTGTAAGAGAACATGTTATTCATCTAGGTACTAGTATAGAATTGAAATTTGTAGGGGGACATTGAATTTGCTATTAATGTTGTTTAAAATAGGCCAAAATTGAAGGAAAATTGCAACAAGTATCTAGTAGTGGTTAACTTTGTACGTGTATTGTTTTGAGGTTTAAAAACCACATTTGTATAAATGAACCATTATATGTGAAGCCTGTAGTATAGGTTGTGAAGTTTGGACAAGTTGAAATCGGCTGTATGTGGTGTAATTTGTGAATACTTTACGAGAAGCTTACATTTGTTTTGCCAGATTAACATACATTGTATTTGTGCCAAGTACTGTGGGAGTTACACACAGAAGTCACAATAGCGTGATGTATCAAATGAACAAGTCCACAATCCTCGTCACGGCCCTTGTGGATTTGTTCTACTGTGGGAGTATTGAATTATCATAAAGTTACAGAGTAAAGCAATGATATAGTACTGGACAGTTGGAAATTAAATAATGTAGTTGTTGCAGTGGGTGTGTGTGCAGGATAATATATTTTTGTACTAATGTTCAGGAAATATAAAACAGTTTAAGTTTTATTTTGAAGACTTGGTGAGGATGTAAAATGAGATTTTTGACATTCTGGACAAGAGAAACTTAAGAGTGATGAAGATAGGAGAGTATTACAATTAAAGGATATCATGAGACAAATTGAATTTGAAGTGGATTAGCATTTGCCAAGACATTTAATATTAGTTATGCAATACAGTTTACTTATTTGGACAATACTGTATTGCACTTAAAACTTGAGGTAGTCTTGTGTATTAATATCGTGGATGGAAAATGAAAATGAGGCATATCCCGCAATACACACACCGAAACTACAATGTTGGTACAACGTTCGAACAAGTTTTAACACCTACTAACCAGTTATAACAACCAATATAGCAAGTTGTAACAACGTTCTAATACGTCATAAACATGTTAAGCTAAGGTGTAACAACTTTATTACAAGTTATAACAAGCGGAAAATAGAGACGTTTCGGTTTGTGTTTCCAAGGATATCATAAGGAGGATTCACACACTTGGTGTTTTTTATTTTTTGCAGCTATAATATCAGGGGATATATCGTGATGTATAAATGTTGGTGATATTAATGTGATCACGAGTGTTCTAATTCTGTATTGTAAACCTGTGGACGTCTTTTAATTTGATGGGCTCTTGGAGTTTAAAAGATAACATTTAAGTGAATGTATGTTATAAATATTACAATACTTTAAAATAAACACTAATTAAACTATTTATTTTAGAGCACTGTACAACATTAATATTCACTGCCATAGATATAACATGCTTTCCAATATTTAAAAATATAATGGTACTTGTTTGAGTATTTAACGAACCATGGGGTTTTGTGCAATTTTGAAAACCATAATATGGCTGTGTACTGCTTGACTTTGAAACCACTCATTACCACATACATTAGTGTTATAAGGCAGTCTTGTGCTTGTGTGTAATGTGAAGTAAAGTAATTGTTAGTATCTGTGCTGGGGAATTTTGACACCAGTGTGTGATCTGGTAGTTTTTAAGGAAACCAATCAAAAAGTTGAGATTAAACCTTTTAAAAGGATGGCGAATAATTAAAGTCTAGAATGTGTTTAAATCTGAATTAGCAAATGTTGTAGTTTAGTGTCACAGTGTTGACATTCTATTGTTTTGAAAAAACACATTAATGACAGATGATATATGTATCTTGATCATTTATGATAAACCTGAGATTGTGATTATTTACCTCTCTTCGATGTGGACAGATCGTTGTCTGTAATTTAATCTCGATACAGTATGTTGTTTTATGTGATTGCCAAATTTGGATCCATCATGCTAAAAGAAACAAACAAATATGCCAGTGCTTGGTATGTACTGTAATCAAAATGTGATGTAGTAAAGTGGGACCATTATTTAGTTTGAGCTTATGAATTTGTAAATGTAATAGTGTCTTAAAACACTTGTAACAAATCAAGATTAGGGGGTCATGAAGTGTACACATAATTCAGTATATCTTTAAAAGCCGATCTGTGCAGTTATGATGCTAGAACATCAATAATAATGGCAACATGGCTTTTGTGGTAAAGCTAACAATAAAAGTTGTATTTTATCTTGACAGTAATACTTAAACCTACACAATTTTTGCACACAAAACTTGATAATGCATACCATGAAATACAATTTTGTATTATGCATATACAAAGGTAAATAATGAAATGTTGCAACCATGTTTAAATATACAGCTCCTTTCAAATGTGATAAATGTTTACATTGCCAAACATATTAGTTTGGCACTTTTGAATAAAAATAATCATTGTGTGAATTTTCAACATTCGGTTTACCTCTGAAAACACCAAGGTATAACAGGAAACCGTCTTGAATATTTAGGGTTAAAACAAATGTACAGTAGCATGTAAAAGTTCCTTTTGTGGTTTGGAGTTAAACATTGTAACTCTTCATTTTGAGGTGGTAAGATGTTTCAAGAATTACCACATTATGGACAAAGTACAGTACTGTATTTGAATTGTTAAGTGAAACGTTTCTTTACTATTAATATTTGAAATGAATGGCTATTTGATATCATGTGTTAGTTTTCGTGAGCAATTAGAGTATATGATGGAATATAATGCTAGCAGCATGTAGTACACACTGTGCCTGCCATTTATAATAGTAAAGAGCTTACATTTAATAACTGAAAAGCCAGATTGCTTGTGTCATGGAATAATCAAATAGATTGCATAATGGATGGTATTATTTAAATAATAATACAGTATTAGTTTTTATGCTAGTATAGCATATATTTACAGATGTATTTCATTTTAGTATCACAGTTCAAAAAAACAATAAATAAATATAATTAAGTGTTAGGTTTGAAAATAAACCATGTATAATCTAATAGGAAACTATTTCTCCAACTTTTTCAGGAACACACTACTTGTTAGGTATATATATATATATATATATATATATATATATATATATATATATATATATATATATATAATCAGACATATCACACCATTGTAATCATTTTGACAATTGAGTGTACAAGCGATCCAGTGAATACCAGAGTATACACAGTATATATATATATATATATAATGTATGTGTATATATATAATGTACACATTATATACACACACAATGTGTACATATATAATGTACACATTATTTATAATCATATATATATAATTACACAATGTGTAGATATATATATATACACGTGTATATATATTATACACGTGTATAATATATACACGTGTACACATTATATATGTATAAATTATTATATATATATATATATATATATATATATATATATATATATATATATATATATATATATATATATATATGCGAACAAGCTTGAATGGTCTCCAAGCACATATGCAACTGAAAACTCCCCACCCCAGAAGTGACTCAAACCCAAACCGCCAGGAGCACAATGCAACTGGTGTACATGGTACCTTATCCACTTGACCATCAGTGACCGTACAAAAAACGATGATATGGTGGATCGGGACGGTGGTCAAATGACCTTGGCTATCTTCGTCTTTTGTACAGTCACTGATGGTCAAGTGGATAAGGTACCATGTACACCAGTTGCATTGTGCTCCTGGCGGTCTGGGTTTGAGTCACTTCTGGGGTGGGGAGTTTTCAGCTGCATATATGCTTGGAGACTAATCAAGCTTGTTTGCATATATATAATGTATACATATATAACATGTACACATATGCGTGTGTATATATACACATTCGAATCCTTTAGGGATGAGTTTTCTGTTATGTATATATATGTATCTTATTTACATACTATCCTTCATTTGATACCATTTAATATTATACAATATAGAAAAACACACCACTTCTTCCCATACAGCCCCTTGGTAACATTAACATGATTTATTGGACACATCATTATATTTCAAATACTGTACTATGCTTATTTTTATTCCAATATTCTAGACATATTCCATGAAGTATAAATAGCACTGATACTAATCCATTTATATACAAATAGCAATTCATGCATGGGACTCTACCTCAAAGGACACAGTATTTTTCAGAGCTAAGTCTACATGACATTTTTTCACTAAGGGGTACCAATGACAAGTGTGTTTTAACAGGTTACTGTAAATACTTTTATCCTACATGTCTGCAAGATATTTGTGAATGGTATGTACATATAGCACGAACCCGTGACGTATCGTGTGTTGTAGTCTCAAAATAAAAGTAATGGAGGTAAATATTTGTTTTCCCCCAGTCCACAAACTAACATTTATACTAGCCAGTATACACATACATAGTGTAATGATCACAAACTGCCAGTAACTCTAAAACCAATACAGTACATTTGAGTGTTTGCAGTGATGGCATATTCAATTTCTAAATTTTTTTCCAATATTTAAAAGGGGGAAAATGTATTTTCATCATTAACCTAAACAGTTTAAGTAAAGTATTATACTTTCCACAAATTAAACTTCCCATTACAATGTGTTTTCCAACCCACCAGGTGGGAATTCAATTACTAAATTACATTGCAATTTCGACCCAAGCTGCACTTCCTCCTTTCATTAGGATATTAATGCATTGCATAATATAATAAAGTGCTTTAACTCGATCATTAGCTTTTCTATTTGTTTTTCCATCCAAGTTCTCTTCTAATTTTCAGTTATTTACACAAGGTCATTAGAAATGCCCCAAACAATGGATATACGTTCCTCAAATAATCACTGCAATGCCATCATTTGTCTTTACATAAAACGTACTCCTGTTCAAAACTTTGACTGCAGGCAGCTTTGTATTTTACTCTTAATGCCAAACTTTGTGATCCAAAGCCATCAAATTCAACACACTTCCACTACACATAACCAGCCACAGTGTTCTAAAGATAACATGATAAACACCTTCAAAGGATACCTGACCAACCACATCCACAAGGCATGCTCACAGACCAGACCATGGCAATGTTGATTCTTGCATTCATCAAAAGGTAGGCCACTAATAGTAGTGGTCCTCAAGTAAATTCACTCAAATCATTAAAATAACCAGTTACACCACCTGTCTCCATCCCTTGTCCAATCTTCTCATCATTTTCACTTATTTGATTTGGAGAGTTTGCCAACTCTGATTCAACTTGTGCAATGAACTTCTTAATGGTTGCTGTGTTTGTGCATTCTGGAAACAGTGCGCCACAATCAAGGCCTTGTTGGCCTGCCAGCTCTGCACGCAGCTCCTCCAGTAGTCTTGGGATATTCGCCTCTCCAGACAACCAACTTGCACCCATCCTGAAAATTTAAGTAACTAAATCAGTAGGATAATTAAGACTTTCATACATCTTATAGTTCATCTACAGTTTAGTTTAAACAGGCAAAACCAGTTGTGAAACACTTTAATAATTGGACCACTAATTTTTTCAACACTTTCCAAAGTGTTGTTTATAAATGTGAATGATTATATTGGTATCTAAAGTGTAGTTTACACATTCCCCTTTGCTCTTAAAATTACCATTTATAATAATTTGGGAAAAAGTTATGTTTGAAGGTAGGTGGATACACTACTTATCTTGGCCACATAAAAGAGATAATCAAAGGTTATCTTACCCTTATGGCCAGGATGGAACTGTGCAGCCTAAGAGAGATGGGGCAAGGTCCAAACAAATGCTACATCTTGACAAACTAATTAATAAAACATCCACAACATGGCTTTTGGAAAGAGAAGGGAGGCCTGCTTCTGTTTGACTAATTTGCTTTCAATCTTTTCAAACACTTTTTGAGGCTATTGATAATGAAAACGATTGCAATGTTGGGTATCTTGATTAGCAAGTTACTACATACTGCCTCCATTCACAACTTGGCCGGTGATTACAGCCTTTAACACTTTTGAAGACAAGACCAACCTTGTGAAATTATGTACCAATTTCTGGTACGTAAATTTCTTCCTTTCTAACAGGTATGATGATATAAATGTCATCTTCAGCTATTGTATTAAACATATAATTTGTTTTATGTATAGTGGGGAGGGGGGGGGGGGGAAGAGGACTGTACTGGATTGTAACCAATTTTTCAAATTAGACATTTCTTGCCTTACATTGAAAAGCTAGTCACACACACGGACTTTGTGAGTGTTGATCTTCTCAATTTAAACTGTTGCGCTTGAAATAGGTGCAACAACTAAATAAATGAGCATTCATGAATAAATAACAACTTAAAGTCATGGCTGAGAGACTTCTATTTTTCACTTATAAATAACATAGCACCGCTGCCCAATAAACTCGCCCCTCGGGGCAAAATTTAATTTTTTTTTTAAATAACATAGCACAGACATGGAGTACTCACGTCCAGAAGGGCAAAAGTCTATAAGAAACTGTGCTTTTGAAGTAGGGTGAAGTCACATTATGTCCCTCACATAAAAGTCGCTGCACACATTCTGGCTCTTGATCAGCAACCCACGGAGGTGTACGTGACGTGGGCATACCAAGCCCTAGAGCAGACACCATGTTTACCAAACCAGCTCTGAAATCCAATCACAACTTTCATTATTCATTTTTTTGGGGGGAGGGGGGGGGGGGCCAAGGGAGCTCCCCAGTACATGTTTAATAAGAACAAAGGTAACTGCAGAAGGCCTATTGGCCCATACGAGGCAGCTCCTTTGAGATGTTTGTTTAAACCACTATGTTTTACACAACATACGTGTAATATATATTTATATATTTCCATAACATACTATAGTACATTATACTAAATTTTAATTTGACCTCTAATCATTTGAAGTTTTAATTTCTTAAGAATCATAGCAATGCAATTCTTGAGGAATTATTTTCATCTATACTTAGTTCAAACTCTCCTTACTTTTGGATTCCTTGTTTATTGTTCAATCTTACCTACATTTTCTCACGTTTTCCCAGCATTTACACATTAATCGAAGATGTTCGTGGCAAATACTGTAGTCCAAGGACATCCAACAACTGTGCACAGTATTCATGTTCACTACAAGTATCCACCTCTAGCATAAGTACAGTGAAATTGAAGTGTCTGTGGATACAATACACCTCACTTTACTGAAATGTACTGTTCACCACAAGACTGAACTGCATGCAAGCCCAATCAATAAGATTATAGGGTGTGTAGAATTAGGAAATCCTGTTTGTCAGTATAACCTGACAAATGTTCGAAGAGATCCTGTTACCCCATGCATGTAATGTTAACCTATCATCTTCATTGGCCTAACAGGGTATTGCTTATGGGAGTTAGCTCTGATAATTGAGCTGATACTTTCATTCTAATAATATATTTAAGAAATGATGATTCATTAAAATCATGTTTAACCCTCCAATTATTTGACATTTGTTGTGTTTTTGCTTTTTTTTGCCATGTGAACTATGATGTAATACTTTTCATTAGTTGAACAGTTTAAGGCTTAAAAAATTATTTCCTAACCTGGCCATATCATGAAGACTGATGTAAACTTGACTGATGATATCTGCTACTTTTTTTAACATACTGCCATCATCATCCTCCTCCTCCTTTTCAAGGCCTAAACTAGCCCCAAAGTCAAATGAAAGGGCAGACAAGTCTAGTGGTAGACCACTGAAAGTGCTCACATCCTCACGTCCCAGTAATGAATTCAAGGAGAATGATGAATTTGAAGTCGACTGAAAAGATGAACATTTTGTAAACATTTCAACAAAACTTATCAACATATTGTATTACATGATATACAACCTTGACACCAAATGGAATGCTGTTGTTATAAAGTGAGGGAGAAAATAGATACTGTAACTTTAATTGGTAGCTACCAGTAAATGTTTCTATTGCAGGCATCCGAAAGAGGTATTTCCGGTTCCTATGCCAGGCATATCTTGAAACAAACTTTTATGATTTTTTTTTGTATTAACAACAATGCTCTCTCTCTTCTGTGAACTAGAGTACCTGTATAATGTTAAAATATGGAGCGTCAGGAGATTAAAATGAGGGAGTGTATAGTTGGTTGTGTATTAAAGCCAGGTTTGTTCTCATATACATGAGAAATTTTCAAACGTCATCAGTTGCAAATCATGTGTAAAACATTTGTTATTCATAAACGAAGTTTGGCATCTCGATTAACGAGCATTTGCCCTCTGTTGAGGGCGACTGGCTATTAGGGGTGTAATGAGCACAGACCTAAGTGCATTGATTAAACAGTACATAATATGTACCCAAGAGGTATAAAGAAAAAGGGTCCCTTTATGCAATATACATTGCCCATTTTTTCCGCAAGTGGAGACTCATTTACTTAACGTTCCAGATGAAGGGAAACATTAAGCCGACCTTGTGCCTGCGACTCCTGGGAGGGAAACATTTCTTTGGTGGACATATACGAGTAAAACTCTAGGGTCATTATGGCCCACATGAATCTACCTACCTAGTCTTCATAGCTGCACTTTTATCAAGCTAACATTGGAGACTTTATATCCCTTTCAGTTACCTTCTCTATATCCAATGGTTGCCTTTTTTCCTCATCCTGTTATCTCTGGCCTCAAGTCCTTATGCCCTCCCTTGACAAGTTCCACGGTGGCTTCGGACCGTGAGCCTATAGTCATTTTATATCAATGTCTCCAAATCCTGCTGGGTGTACAGGAGCAAACAGTGAAGGAACAGAGCCCAATCTCAACCCTGCCCAGGATGCAACACTAAGGCCACTAATATACAAAGTGAACATGATAACCACAGCACCACACTGGCCCCCTATTATGAGGATGATAACCAATTGTCCACTGTTCATAAAACCACGATTTACTTGCACCATTTTTAAGCAACAGCTCAAGATTTATCGTGCTTTCATTAACTTCTCAATGGCATCAAATACAACACTCCACATATACAACATTTTTCGTACTTTCAGGCTCTTCTGAAATACTGCAAGCAAAAACGTAATTAACACTTTGTCCATATATTTTAATCATAATCATCTACTATTGAGGAAGAGAGTAATGAGCACAGCGTGGGTGTAAAAGGGTACAATAAGTGAAGGGATGTGATAGCCAGTAATCAATGCAGATGTAATAAGTACAAATAATATAGGCTGCACTGATATGTTTGCACTATAAAGTACCCAGGAGTCGGACAACTATTGTGGGTGGCATCCCGTGGAAGGCTAGCTATTGGCTAGCAATAACCCAAATAAATTAGGTTACCTCCATAACCCAAATGAGTTTCTTGTCCATGACAATGGCACACTGCCTCTATAAAGCATTAGAAAAAAATATGCATAAAATAATGTGCTCCCATATCACGAATACATTAATATAATACTGCAAAACTTATAGAAAATAAACAATTTAATTACTAGCTATTATAACCATTTTGTTTCACTTTAAACTATTAAATCTGCCTTTCTATAAGTGACTGTCAAACAATACAGTTAAGAGAATCTGAATGCCTTGAAAGCCTGAAGAGCACAAGACCTTCAATCAATTTCCTATCAATTTTCTGACTTACATTTTATTTGTTAACTCATTTATTTCAACTATTCTAGCATGCTAAAAATGCACAAATATAAATCATTAGCACCTACGTTAGCCAAGGCTTGTACTAATAAGTTAGCCATGAAAACGCCAAAGGCGAGGAAGGACATGGTGGTGATGGCCTTCTCAAGGCTTGGGAGTTGGTTGGACATCCCAGACACTACCTTCCCCATCCGAACCATCCAATTACCTCCACCCTGCCGATCCAATGCTTTCATACCATTCTCAACGTTACTCTTGGACCCTGAAAGATAAAACATTATTTACAATGTCTATCTAATTGCAATAGCAAGGTTTCATTTATCACTTTCAATAATTTTGTCTTTATAAGCTCCATTGCCTTGAATTCTTGCAACTTTCAGATTCCGTCGGCTTTGCAAACCAATGGAATGCAACTATCGTGTTGTCTTAAGTAATTATCAAAAGAAGGCACCAGGTCATGAAGACTATTTAGCAGTCACTTTATGTCGTATCTCATTATGTCATCCATCATATTACTGTATAGACAAGTATCTAAAGACATCTATCCAGGAAAACTGTTTAGCAATGATATCGTTGTATCATCCTGGAAGCAATTATCATACGGCAAGAAGCTGGGAAGACTATTTAGCAATACTGTCTATTCATGGTTTCTATTATTTCATTTCTTGTTTTCATTCTACTCATTATGCTCAATTAGTATTAAGCTTGTCATTTAAGTTTATCATGCCCGAAACGCTTTGCGTAATAGTGGCTTTAGGCATTGTATGTACTAGCTCTACCTATAAGTCAACCAATCTTTGTAAAAAATTATTGTATGTATGTACCTTACCTAAATAAAAATTATTATTATTATTATTATTATTATTATTATTATTATTATTATCATCTATTGAATACTGTCTATTCATTCCGGGTAGATGGGACTCGTTAGCCTGGGAAGGCAGCTCATCTAGGGGAAGGAAAACCCTGATTCTAAACCTCCGCTGCCTTGCGGCCATACCCCTATTTTGGGAAAGGCTTCAGGAGTCAACCTCGAGGAAAAATCCAGAGTTGGAGCCCCTAAGGCAGTTCGTTGTCGATTTCGACCTCGCTCTGGCTGCGACAGTGCTGCAATCAATGTTTATTGACATTTGCCTTTCCGTTGGATAATTTCAGCAACGTGGAGAGGGGAAACCTGCTGCATGACTAACAGCTTCTCCTCCATATCGACCTACCCAAGCTTTGCGTCCTGGAGAACAACCAGAGCCAACTCCATAGTCTGCAGAGACTGAAGGATGCCTACTACTAAAATGGCGTCATTATGTTATGTTGTAAGTACTGTAACTATATAAAGATTGTGCCAAGCCAGGATGATTATGTACTACCACCTATATCACAGGATAAGGTATTCAAAAGATGCTAAATATTACTCAAGATGCCAATTTGTATACAAAAAGGACATACGGGGAATGAAATCTATAGAGGGACAAGCAGCCGACCCGGATATACATTAGCAAAGCAAGACATACGATTATCCTTAAACTGAACATTCTAAAAGCTGCACATCTATAAATGAGAGAGAGTAGTTCATTATTTTTTTATATATACAAGAGTTCTTACATTCTTGTACCGGGGGGGGGGGGGGAAGGTGGAATGAAATGAGGGATTTCCCCATAATGTGTTAAATACTGTAAGCAGGAACATTGACAAATTAAAGGAATCAAACCCCACCGGTGTGGAGAGAATTCAATCTGACCCACAGCCAACTCCAACCGTAAGTCCAGAGCTGATGGACAACGAACTGACGAACCTCTGAGTGGGAACGGATCTGGTGGCTCTACCAGAAAGAGGCATTTAGTACATTGGGTAACCGTAATGCTGTACTCGCATAGTTGTGCTTGCGGGGGGTTGAGCTTTGGCTCTTTGGTCCAGCCTCTTAACCGTCAATCAACTGGTGTACAGAGTCCAGCTGAGCCTCTCAAGCTCTATTATATCTACATTTGAAACTGTGTATGGAGTCAGCCTCCACCACATCACTTCCTAGTGCATTCCATTTACTAACTACTCTTGACACTGAAAACGTTCTTTCTAATGTCTCTGTGGCTCATTTTGTACTCGGCTTCCACCTGTGTCCCCTTGTTCGTGTGCCACCCGTATTAAATAATCCATCCTTGTCTACCCTGTCAATTCCCCTGATAATTTTTTATGTGATGATTATGTCTCCCCGGGCTCTTCTGTCTTCCAGCGACGTGAGGTGCAGTTCCCTCAGCCTTTCCTCGTAATTCATGCCTCTTAGTTCTGGGACTAGCCTAGTGGCATACCTCTGATTTTTTCCAGCTTCGTCCTGTGCTGTATTAGCTGTATTGTATTGTGCTGTATTAGTTGAGGCTGTATGGGCTCTGTCTGCCAAGACAAACATCCTTAAAGACCATAGATAATCGTCAGGGAAGTGGAACACTCAATAATCGTCAGTAGGTAATTAGTTGGAACGTGTATTGGATGACCTTTCACAAGCTAACAGCTTCCCGTTTGCACCTTGAGTAACTGGTACAGGGTACATATCTAGCCTGGTTGCAAATATTAAATACATGTAAAAATCCTTACTACACTGACCTTCATAAAACAATTAGTAAATATAAAAAAAAAACTTAATTTGCTCACCTGAACTAATAAGCATTTTTTTCTCCAAAGGCGTTTCAGCAGACGTTAAACTAGACTGCGTGTTCCCAGAACTACTTGGCTGCAGCTGATGACCAGTCAGTGTAGAGGACTGCACTTTGCCAAGACGTGATGGAATCATAATAGACTTTCGCTCGAAATTAGACAGGTCCTGGGAGTCTGAACCTGTAAGGAGCCGCTGCTACACAAAAGATACTGAAGGTGTCTACAGGAATACTTCGTGTTTTTTTTGGACTAGTAGTAAATACAAGATAAAGCTCCAAAATTTTATTCGTGCAATTTATTCAGTTAATTATGTTCATGATACTGTATATAACAATCATCGATAACTATGGAATAAAATAAAAAATATTACATTAATGTATTTCAACTTTCAATTTACACTGAAACTATTGAAAATCATTAACCAATACCCTCACCCACCGTCTACAGTACAACCATACTATAAACGGCTCTACCGAGATAGTTATAGTTTGCCCGAAACGCATTGCGTAATAGTGGCTTTAGGCATTGTATGTACTAGCTCTATCTATATATCAATCCATTAATGTAACATCACTTGTATGTATGTACCTTACCTGAATAAACATATTTATTTATATTTATTTATTTATCGTACTATAGTGAGACTGCTGAACTGAATGAAATTGTGTTGATCGTTATGTGTGATTTGCGACAAATTGGATCTAGCTGTTGGGTCCAGTCCCTGAGCCCATTATGTGCCTCTGTAACCCTGTCCACTACCGCCCACAAGATGGATATAGGGTGCATAATAAACGAACTAAACTAAAAACAAAACAAAAAAGGCATCGAGTCCTCCGGAGCAAAGTGGGTTCAGTTGATAATTACATACTATTCAACCCACATCCATTGGATCATCACGGGTTTCAAAAGTGGTATAGTATTCAAATTGATGAAGAATGTCTCACAATACATAACTTCTTTTTGAGAGCCACCTACCTCATGGCTGTTGAATGTTCGCTATCCCCCCACCCTAAATCGTTCTATCTTTCCAATGTTTACTTCTATTCTTTTCCCGCTGTTCTGGGGGTAAAATTGCCTTTCCGCAACTTATTTAGCCGCATTTATCACTATTTCTTAATTCTCCACTCTAGAGTAGTTATAATTAAGGTTCTTGCTAGAATGGTCCTCACCTGACTTGCGGCGGTGGTCCAGGGTGACATGGGTCGCTGGCAGCGTGCTGTCCTCTCCAGGGCCCTCTGACCCTGCTGGACCAGTCAGTAGCCTCCGCCTGTTTCAAGGACAAAGTCCGAGGTCGATTACATATTTCACATGATCAAAATATACTTAGCATTTAAACTGATTAAATTCTACAAAAAGTTATATGTAACGGGACCAGTAGCACAGTGACATACGTCCTCTATCACAACTTAAAGACCCAGAGTTCAGTCCCCTGACAGAAGACTGAACGTGGCCAGAAATAGTTGGCGACGTCTCCTTTTACCAGATTCCTCTCTTTATTGTTGTTTTAGATTCAGCTACTCTAACAGTAGCACGGGCGTTGGTGAGCCCGCAGTCGACTTACCACAGGAGCGGAGCTCTAACTGTATATTAGATGCTTCAGATTGATTGATTGAAGATTAAGCCACCCAAAAGGTGGCACGGGCCTGAGTAGCCCTAAGTGGTGGCCCTTTGGAGCCATTACAAGTACCAATAGTTGATACTGGAGATCTGTGGAGGTGCGACTGCACCCTACGGAGAGGTCGTGACCTCTGTAGATGCTTCAATTCACATAGCAGTTAAATAGGTACTCTCTAGTTTAGCATCCTAGGGATGGTCAATATAGTTGCCTCACGAAGACCTCGTTAAGCTTAAGTACAGGTATGGAAACCATGACTCTCTCACTCAATTAAACAATTACATAGTAGAGCCGTTTATTAATAAAATACCCCTGTGTCGAGTTATATATACAAGTGTACAAATACAAAATTTCTGGGGCGTTTAGGGCAGCCTTCAAGCACCCACTTCCTCATTAAGAGGACTAGCACTAAATATAAACCACTACATCTTGCAATGTAGCGGCTTCATCTTGAAATGTCGAGCCAGTCCATACATTGATTTCATCTTGGTCAGAGATAACTTGTCGATGTAGTAGTGGTTGCAGTAGTAGATAATGCTAGCGTTTCGTCAGGTTATGCAGACGATTTAGTGGCAGGTGACGTAGTAGTTAGTGTTGCAGGGGTAGGGAATTTACGAAATTATGTGGTCTGAAACTGTTAGTTTGTAAACTAGTAGCCTATTAAACGTTTTCACAAATAGGCTGTTGGTGTTCTCGGCCAGTGTGTGGGAACTGAAAAGTAAAACATGAACTGTACCGTCTTCAATGGTTGGGAAGGGCCCACCAAGGCATTAGGCTGTATTGCAGTAGTACTGTATCTTGGCAAGACGAGAAAAGCAGCAGACTGAATGCAGAATGTGACCGACGTGCTACGTCGGCCGAGTTGTTGAGTTGTAGAAGTAGCTTCTCTGGCACCTGTCACTTTCATTATTCCTGCCTGTTAGTGTGTACATCCCAGCGAAATTGCATGTGAGCATCTTCACAAAGTATGCATCGTGTGTGGAGCGTTTGCGGTGTCTCATTTGCAATAATTCAGTCCCGTTGTTACGACTTGAGAGTTACACATACACCAAAAGAATTCTTGTGAGACCTGGTAATCCACGCCTTTTCTCAGCCAGGTGGTGACATTTTAATATTTTGAACATTAATGTGCTGCATCATGGTATGAATTACTACCGCTAAATGGTCATGTGTTTGGCAACTATACGGAGTTCCTTTCAGTTCCGGCCAAAATACTTCAAGCTCTTAAACACTTCACAGATTTATCAATCGATATTATTATCTTAGCATGGAGTCCATCAAACAACTTCACCCCCAACTGAATAACTTCCTTTGAAGATCGATTCGTGCAGACCCCAGAAAGGTGTTCTAAACAGCTGACTTTTCTGTAGTATTAAAAACAAAAATATGAGTTTCTTAGTCAATCTAATTTGGCGTTAAACCCCAGCAGCTCTTCAATCCTTTTCCAAATGAATCCTCTCATTAGGGCCTTCTTACAGCCATTAATTTAAAGAACGTTCTTATTAATGAGAGGAGACCCGTTGAAAGTTGAATTTTAAGTGAGCATTTTAGGACGAAGCTCCGCTCGAGGGTCAAGAGTCCACATAACATACGTCACACTGATTAATGCTACACAATCTGACCAAGGACATTGCCATGCATCACCTACTACTCATGGAAAGCACATGGCTGACATATTTAGAAACATAATTGGAACCATTTTTAAAATCTAGGTATAAATTAAATGTGTAGTTTGACAAAGTATCATCCAACTATATAAAATTGGCCAAGGACATGCATGATGAAATGAGTCAGTGACTAACAGGAGTAGTACGTTTATCCATTAAAGTGCAAAATCTTGGACTATATAGATTAATGAAGCACTGGCACGCAAGAATAGTTACAACATACGATTTAAGAAATTTATGTTGGTATTAAGGATATGAGCAGCGATATTCATATTGAGTACTGTTGGGTAACAGTGCAAATGGCCAAACAGGAGTTTGAAGCTTTGCAAGTTCAAATTTTGCCCTCTGACAAGCGGGCAAATTTCGTGACTATTTGGAAATCTAATATTCTTGTACTTGTGTGTATAAACTATAGAATCTGGAAATGTATACCAGATCAGTATTTAAAGTAATCATACTTACTTGACCATTTGAAGATGTGCTTGGGAGCCACTTGGTCGTTGTTTCAATCTTTGATGATGTTTTGGGTACGTAGATTTTAAACCAAACACTCCTGAACTATGAGGTGGCTGGGTAAACTCGTTTCCTCCTTGCTTGGACGATGCTTGTATCATCTGAAAGCCTACAGGGCTCGGCACAATGCTAACTGGATTTGCTTCGATATTCCCCGGCCGTGGTGGCCTTACACGAACCATCCCATGTCTTCCAACAGGAGTCTGGCGAGGATGGGGCAGTGTGTAATGACCACCCAGGATTAATGAATGTCGATGCTGTCCACCTGAAAGTTTTCCAGAACCATAATTCGAAGGTTTTGGTGTGGCAGGAACATGTGCCACACCCACAGGGGAGCCTTCGTAACTGTGGTTGTGACCGAAGTGTTTGGTGGAGCTTGCAGCAGGACTTTGGTCGTCTGCACGATGATGAGTGGTGGTGTGTGGATGGTGGGTGTTCAGTATATCCAGCCAAGCACGGTTGACGGCAGCGGGCCCCGTCTCTTCAAGGGTAATATAGACATCATTTCTGCAACAAATGTAACAAAAAACTAGTGACGAATGTCATAATACCGATTTATTTACATTTATATACTGATGTGTGTATATCACGAAAATAAACACGTGATTTATATACTGATGTATATTATTGGTGTATTTGCGTAAGCTGTTCATTAGTGATTCAAATTATCCCTTTGTGATGTTTTTGCTAACTATTTTATCATTACAGTTATACAGCTTGACAAATCCAGTGCATTTATGGATGATACAATTATTTCGACTATTCTTATAATGTTTAAAGGCAAGTACTGCATGGAAAATAGCTCTAATGTCTTTTTTTTCAAATTTGTGACAATTCTAACTATACATCAGAATTATCAGTCACGACTTTATTAGGCTCCAGGACCCAGCGGGCACACGACGTTGATTCAGTCCCTGAGCCCATTATGTGCCTCAGTAACCCTTTCCACTACCGCCCACAAGATGGGTATGGGGTGCATAATAAATGAACTAAACTAAAACGTTGATTCATCGCTACTCGAACATGTCTTGCTTCCTGGGGATGGACTCTAATGTCACTTTCACTACATGGGGGATGGGTAATTAATTTATTCATGAATATAAAATAAGGCTGAATATTCTGCATGAAAGCCCAGTTAGACTCAAAGACGTCGCTTGTTATGACTACAGCACTTCCACCAACAGCAGTGAGGGCTTTTATATGTCCATTCAGCGCAATGTCCTTTATACGGACATTGCGCTGGAGGTCAAACTACATCGCGTTCGAATTATGTCTACGGCATAGCATTTGTGTAATTACTAGTAAAGTAATGGTAAAATGGTAAAGTAAAATAAAGTAAAGTAATAGTACAAGTAGTCCTGGCCCAGCCCGTCCTCGCATATAAAGATCCAAGCTTGTTGATGCAGCCGCGTTTACGGGCTATTCATGCCCGTGCCACCTTTTGGGTGGCTTAATCTTCAATCAATCAATCGATCCAGCCGTCAATCCCCGCCTGTTTATGAATGAAAAGCGGTTTACGCAACTCTCGACTGATGACACACTTCAGGAACAAGTGCTTCGTTCATGTCCTCTGTTCGAACCACAATTCTATAAACGCTTCACCCACGTACTTGAAATACAAATAATCGCCAACAGAACCTAAACACCTAATCTACGTTGTTAGAATTTTTATGTTTAACTCCTGCTGCAGCAGGACACTTTTCTTGTTTCTATATTAACAACTATTCTGACAAAAAAGACCTCTTAGAGTTTTTTGTTAGTATGCCTCTAAATGGAGACAATGGGAACCATCCACAGACTCAGCATGGGTTCAATGTAGCCACTTCCTTCCAGCAACTAAAAAGTTTCGCTAGCTTGTCTTACTACAAACCACGAGACAGTTATAACACAAGGCGTCCGTGAGCGCCCACACCAGCTGCCGTGCAAAATGGACCATATGGTATTCAGCTATTTATTTAACTGCCGGGTTAGGCTAAATACTTTAAATGGTGGACAACGTTAACTTTGAAAATTCTCGATTAGTGGGTTAGTAGACATTGAGACAAATTATCTCCGACTATTTTTAACAGCTGGCCAGCACAACTCTGCTCAAAATAATTAAGATATTTGTTTAGTTTAATTCATTTGTAAAAGACTGATGTCCACCCCGTTTTTTTTATTATTATTTTCTACCACAGACGTGGCCACACATTTACAATAGTAACCACATATATACATTTTCTTCTGTCCTCCATGGACAGGGGGAGAGATTTGTCAAACATACAGTTCAGGGATTTATTGAACAATCAACCACAGATCCACCCTGTGAGAGGCGCTGGGAAATGCTCCTAGGAACATCCTAACCCTAACCAAACTTTTAGTTCAAAGTTAACACATTGGTGAAATTGTTACATTTAACTAAAACTGTTTCACCAGCTTATTCGCAATTTATCAACATATTGCAACTCAAAGATTGAGTTTTGTGTTTAGTCTATTATTGTCCCTATATACCGCATCTTATGGGTGAGCCGGAATTGTTTTCGTGTCGCATAATAGGTTTCAGGCGTTTTCAACTACGGAAGAACTCTAAATGGTTTAAAATTGGGGAGAGAGAAAAAAAACGATCAACTTATCTATTTTTTTTATCAACACATTTAGGTACATCTGCATTTGTGCAGCTACCCATATGAAGGGGAGTACAGCGTGTCAAAAAACTAGCTTCGTGATGCTCAAAACTGCTATCACACAGGAGGGTTAGTCATACAAAAGGCACGTGATATGTAGTCTGCACTGGCAAACACTAGGTGCATTATGAGGATATCACCATGAACAAGAGTGAATAAGGCAGCAGTGATACTAAAGTCCCCCCATCTCGCAGGTTGGTTAGTCATACGTTTAATAGCCTGCATTGGCAAATTTTGGGTGCAATATTAGGATATCCTCAAGAACACAAGTGAATAAAGTACAGTAAGTGCAAAGCTCGATAACTGGGCATTCGGTGATGTGTGGGAGATCATGTCCCAGTTCCTACTGTACAAAACGTCCACCAGACTGTGGGAGTTGTTGTCAGGATCAGTTGGGTTACCGTTACGTGTGGCAGGTGGCTACAGGTGACGGGTCTCCCAATCCTGGGGCCAGTTTCACGAAGCAGTTACGCAAGTACTTACGAACGTGTACATCTTTTCTCAATCGTTGACGCCTTTGTTTACATATATTAAACAGTTTACAAACATGAAAACATGTCAATCAACTGTTGTTATTGTTATAAACAGCCTCCCGGTGCTTCGGAGCTCATTAACTGTAATAATTGTAAACAAAGCCGCCAAAGATTGAGAAAAGATTTACAGGTTCGTAAGTGCTTGCGTAACTGCTTCGTGAATCTGGCCCAGCTGAGCACTCCAAGTGCCAACGTCATCCAAAATGACTTGTCAAAATTAAGAACATTTATCACAAGAGATGGACATGTTAGATTTCTGATAATATGCCATAAGTACGATAATACCCATTACCGGTATTTTACCGGTAGAACGCCATATCGACTACTACGACATTTATTTTACCATTTAAAATCTTACAAAAATTTTATGTTGTAAAGTTTGAAGAAACTAATCCTGGTTAGTTTAATAAAATTAATGTTAACATGATTTTGCCATACAAAATCTTCAGGGAAATAGACAAAGAAAGCCCATTTAAATTAAATAGGACAAGGGGACGTCAGAGAAGGAACGTAGACATTTACATACCAGAGTCTATCACAGATTAAGAAAGTAATATGAAACAGAACAATGCAAAATATGTACAGTGACCACGACACAGCAGTTGCAACATCAGGATCTGCGGGTTGGAACAAAAATTCAACCAACTACGAACCACTTATTTTAATGAAAGGTAACAGTAGAGCAACAGAAGTACACTTACATCGCATCAGGCTAGGATACCCATGTGAATGGGAAATAGGCTTACGGGTTCCAGAAGATGAGAGGAAATGTCAGCACTGTGGAGAAATGCCCTACAAACCACTGGAACATTATCTAACACTTTGCAGAGTTACAAACCCATTTAAGATTTCAACTTGGATTCAACAGAGCAGAAGTTGTTAAAACATGGGACAAATTCTTACTGAAGCGACCATACGAGTCATAAATACTCATACTCCGCCCAAGTAAAACAGAAACAAGCAACACTTAGTGGGCCAGCCGGAGGCTTAGGGCCCGCGCAGGAATATCCCTGAAAAAAAAGTACAAATGAGTGGAAGAGATGCAGGACCACTCTGTATGAGTGGTCAGCAAGTGGAATCCATTCAAAGAAGAGTCTGTTAAAGTTGTTTATAAAATTGGCTCCAAGAAAAAATACTGAAAACGTTAAAAATCAAGATCTCACATTCTCACTCCCCCGTAGTCACTGATAGGTGACTACCCAGTACCTGTCCTCTAGTCAACATTTAGAAATACATGCTGATTCAGTTATGGTTGTATGCTTCAATGTCGTACAAGGTTCATTAACTTAAACGATGACAAGGCGTACGAGTAGCAAGCGTCACAAACTAAGATATATATTTTAACATTACATTATTTTAGGCGGTCTTAAGAACTTCAGAATTAATTCAACAATTAATAATTTATTATCTTTCAAACTTTGGCCTACATTGAGTCAAGGAAGAAACTAGAACTGACAATACTATGAAAATCTAACTAGAGGGAAAATGAAAAGTGTTACGTAAAGGTCGCAGAAGTTTCTATATTAAACCTTAAACCAGCAAATATACATCTACCTTTATATTTGAGCGATTTTTTTACCAAGATTAATATTATACATATATTAACAGGTAAACACTACTGTAACTATGGTTTTCAAACAAGACTGCTACAAGTTAGAGGAACGATATCAAGTTATTTAAGTTGTTTATACAAGATTTGTGTTTAAGACATGGGAACAGAGGTAGGTAGAAATATCATTACAATTCCTTACAGCGTATCTTTATAATAATGTTATAGTAATAATAATTTATAATAATGCTACGCGTACTAGTGGCTGTACAAGAATGTAACAACTTGTATATATAAATAAAATAAAAAATAAATAAATGTTGCAGTAACAGGGTAAAAAGATATACCTAATTATAATTATGTTGCAGTAACTGGGTAATGTGGGGGTTACTACTACTTCTATTGTTCTTGCAGAGGGGGGGGGGGAGGGAGTGTTGTTGAACTGCGGCTCTTGGGTCCCACCTAAACCCCTTAATTAATCGTCTAGTGTATAGGTTCTAGCGAATTTCCTCATTTAAAGTTTAATCATTAACGTATAAACAAGGAATCAAGGTACTTCATACGGTACTTTACAAGGTACAGGGTACTTTACGTGTCGTAAAGTAACCCCACAAACTATCCTCACATGTATCACATGCTTTGCGAGTGTCGCATCAATATGACACTCCCAGAACATCTAAATTCCGGAGTTTTAGTGGAATTAGTAACACCGGAATATTAATGGTCTTTCAGACTAATAAGGATCAGATTAATAAGGATCAG